GGGGTAAGAATGCTATACATGGGATTGTATCATACAGGGGTGGATTTTTTTCATTGGATATTAGGAGCAATTTTCTACTTGTCCAATCATTAATTTGAAAACATCACTTTAGAAAAACATTATTTATGCAGTTCTTGAAACATACACAACTTTCCAAATTAGTATTGAGTAAAAGCTAATTGTTATTTGTGTAAGCATGACTGTTTAATTGTAAATATGATGGAACTTTTTTTCCCTTCTTTTGTAATCTTTAGCGTATTGGCTGTGTAATTTGAGCTTTACAGATAATTTCCAAAAGGTCTTTTGTAAGGTCCATCTTCTCCAAATACATATACTTTTATAGGAATATTGGAGGAAATAGTACTAGACAGTAGATACTGGTGATTGACTATATTTTAAAAAAGCTTGGACAACTTTGCCTTTAAATATACCCCAGTCTGGTAATTTGATCATTTGTTGGGATAATATGCAGGTTAATTTTGAGCTTTAGGACTGATATTCCTTAATTACCACTTAAATATAAAATGTCACAAATGGAAAGTTATTAGAACACACTTTCAAGAGCTTGTATCGAAAAACGGGAATAGTTTACACATACTAAGAATAGTAAAATAGATAATGAATAATATACTTTTATCACTCAGTAAATAGTTATATACACACACAAAAAATAGCTTAATCCCTTTACTCCGCCCCTTAAAGTTTTCCCGCGTCTTTCGCCGAAGAACACCTTCATGCTCCAGACGAATGTAGTTCCACTGTCTGATATAATTTTGTACTATCAAGCAACATTTTACCTTTAATCAATTCTTTTTAGATAAAAATGATTATTTTCTGTGTTTAAAATGATTCATTTTTGAAAAATGTATTATATATTTTTAATGCGTAAATGTGACCTTGAATGAGAGTAACCATTAGTGTATGAATATACATTATGCATAATTGTGAGACGGCTCGGTTTATGAAGGAGTCAATTCTTGGGCATAAGATCACAGTTGCCAAGGATTCAACCGATATCAATACCTGTACATTTATTAATAGTGTTGGAATTTTAACATGTTAGTTGGTAAGTTTAATTTTTTTCCTCAATCTTTGTGTATCAAAGAGCATCACTGTCAATGACAGCTCATTCGGAGTTGGTGGAACTGACATGTTCCCCGTCAAATGTCAAAGGAGTGTGAAATTGTGTAACGTGAAAAAACTACGATATAAAAGATTTTTTCACATGGAATACTGTTTCCTTATGTTCATCATTACTTACTTCATTGTTTTATTACAAGTTTACATCATAAATATGTGTACTTCTTACTGTCAGTTACATTTTAGCGAAATATTGTACCGGCATTGTATATAGGTCACCATGTTGGCAACTCACGTGGGTTTGGCATGTGTAAGAATGTTCAACATATTTTGGCCTGGGTGACAAGAATTAAGACGTGACTTTGTGTCACACTTTAATACTACGAAGCATTTAGTCTATGGAAGCTAATGTCCATTGTCATATAACCTTTTTCATTAAAAATTCGAACGAATTCTGTTAAAAAATAAAATGGGCGGGGCTTAAATAACTTTGGTGGTGCGTTGCCGACAAATGGCTTTGCTGTCTAAATTTATGCAGAGCACCAGCCAATGACAATCAGTTAAGGTTTGACATGTCCTGAATGAAACCGGCATCACGAAATTCACGTGCATTTACTATTTTTTTAGGACGAAACGAGAAAAACGGAATCATGGACTACGAAACTTTCCAACCCTGCTTTTATGAAAATGAAACGGAGACCTTGTCCCCAAGTTCTTTGCCAAATGAAGATATGTGGAAGAAATTTGAGTTGTTACCAACCCCGCCTTTGTCACCCAGACGGGATGATGAATACGACATGAATTCTCTGGATTTGGAAGATTTCAACCTTATCTTTGACGAGTTTTTCCAGAAAGAAAGTGATAATAGAAAAATCATGACGTTTTCTGAGACTCCTCCGAATTTGAATTCAAACTTGATTCAAGATTGTATGTGGTCTGGAGATTCTGGTCGTTACCCCACTGGAGAGAATGCAGTTTGTTCTGATGTCAACTCTGCAGATTGTGTAGATCCAGCAGCTGTGTTTCCCTATCCCATACATAGCTTAAACAGCATTCACAGTGAAACTAAGCTTCACAGCTTAGGAACAGAGACCCCATCCGATTCGGGTATGTATTTTACACTGCATAAATTTATATGAAACAAGAAAAGTCACTCAGTATTTTTTTTTTTAATTAAAAAAGTTTCTTAAAAAGCTGTTATCTTTTTCAGAAGAAGAAATTGATGTGGTGACAGTTGAGAAAAAACAACTGCAACAAGTTCCTGTGGCATCTGCAAAGAAGACCGTGTTTACAGTACAGAGTGTGAAAACAGAGAGAGTAGAGGGGAGTGAAGATAAATTAGGTGCTGCTAAAACAACTGTCACAGTGAAAGTGAAGGTCGACTGTCCAACAGATGAACACCCCTACAGTTTACCTGTGTCATCTCTCAAACGTGTTCGGTCTCTTCCAAGTTCCCCTTCTATGTCACCTTTACCATCAAAAAGGTGTAAAAGAGAGTTAAGTGACAGAGACATGAAGAAAGTGTGTCATAAACTTCGGGGTAGTGGTAGTAGTAGTGCTTCTTCAAGTCGAAATTCCTCAGACTCAGAAGAATACCCTGAAGGAAAAAGGACTCAACACAATGTATTAGAACGCAAACGTAGAAATGACCTCAAATTCAGTTTTTTCAGTCTCAGGGATAGTGTACCAGAACTTGTGAAACAGGAACGTGCTCCGAAAGTTCAAATTCTCAAAAAGGCTTCTGACTATATCCGAAAATTATCTGCCGATGAGCGCAGGCTAGAAAGTGAAAGAGAACTGCTTCAGGAAAAACATGAACAGTTGAGGAGGACTTTAGAAAAGCTCCATGCTAGAGAGTTTTAAAGATATGATGGCAAGACTTTTTGTGTACAAGCTATATATTAAAGTTTAGGGCAAGTTTGTGTTCACCTCATATAACCCAAATTGTGTTCAAAAATGACGAGTTTCAGAAATTTTATCATGTTGGCATTCATTTGACACTGCCAGTGTGCAACTTACTTGATGCAAATCATTGTTTTGATTGTTTTGTACATTTAATATTCAGCCTCCTGTTTTCTATAGTTATACATATATATATATATATTCTTTCTTTATACTGCCTGTAGAAAGTAGTTGTACACGGAATTTCTTTTGTTGATGATTTTAAGTTTTTGTTAGCTTGAGTTGAATGTTATGTCTTTGTACTATTTTGCACAAAGATTTGTCTTGAGAAACTGTAACTAATGAGTTGTTGAAATTTGAAAATTTTATTGTAAAATACATTTCTCTATATGTTTCACTGTCTGCAAGAAGCAGTGTTGTGGTTTATGAGTCTTGTTTGGTTACTGCTATTACTTTTTTATCTGTATAGTTTTGTTACATGATATTGTTTGATATAAATGTACAATGAAATGATCTAAATCTTCATTAATCTAAATGAAAAATGATAATGTACCGAAATCTGTATTTCAAGTATTGTGGAAATAAAGCTGGTTGTATTTCTTGTCATATGTTTCATAGAAATACTACCTAATGCTTATGTTGAGATATGTGTGTTGTTTTGCTGTGCAATGTGAAAAGTATGTATGTTCTAACATGTGTCCATTTCTTAATCTGTAGAATACATATATTTTGCATAAAGTTTTCATATATGTTTCCTTGCAGTGATACTAGTGCTGTAACCATCAGATTGGCTTTCATCTCTGTATTATGCATCATGCACATATCTACAACTTTGCTTTGTATAATTTTCACCTCATTCAACATAATAAATTTAAAACACCTTTTATTTTAGTTTTATTGTGTATTGACAAAAAGGATGGCCAAGGCATTCTCATGCATTATGAAAGAAATATTCAGGGTATTTTTAAAGAAGATTTTAAAGTTAAAATGGATTAAGGAATATAATTTAGTTTTGACATATTTGTTGAGACCATGTCAGGGTTGGGCAGAGTTCTTCCTCATTCAGGGGCCCGTTTTACAAAAGAACTTACGACTAAGACCAAAATTTTATTCTGTTCATAACTTTCTATTTTACATTAATTTTAAAATTTTTATATTCTTTTTAAAAGGAATTTTAATAAGATATTTTTATTCTAGCAAACTTATCATTAATTTTACAGTCAGCTCAAGTTTTTAATCGTAGTGGTAATTTCTTTTGTATAACGGACCCCATGATCAAGTTTTATTGAATTTTACTATAAGTCTGCAAGTGCTCGAATGTGAAAAGCATTTGAGAGCAACTGTTCTTCTTACTGTAAATGATTCCTTGATCCAGAATGTCCTCGGTCTCGTAACAAGTTGTTTTATATTCTGGATCATGATGATTTTTAATTTCAAAGTTGAAAAGCAATTCTCAAAATTATGACCCTATAATGACAGGAAGTTTATAAAATAAGAATGACTTAACTACAAAATAAGGAAGTTTTCCAGTAAAAATAGCAAAACATATAATTTAAGATTCTTCTGGTACCTGTGAATTAATTATTCAGGTTTCCTGGTTACTCAATATTAACAATACCAGGAAGCAGGAAGAATTAAACAGGAATGGAGAAAATTTAAAAGACAAGGAATGCATAACGACGTAAATAGAACTGATTTATAACAATCATCTGGGACCTCAATTCTGAAGAACAAAAGCGGGAAAAAATTATAAACATGACAAATCCATCTGCAGTGCAAGGAGTTAAAAATAATAATCCAATGAATGGTTAAATATGCAAAACTTTTGCATCAGTCTTTATTGTGCCACTTATTAATTAAGAAATGATGGATGTCCAGATCTCTTTTTTTAATGTATCCTGAATTACTTGAAAACCTTATTTGTTGTCACTGTAAACGAATAATATTTAGTACGAATTGATTATTTCATTTATCCGGGTTTACCCCGGGGACGGACCAGAATTTACTATAAATTCAATATGGCAGCCTCCATGTTAGCACCGTCTCTGCGTGTTCCAGTACCAGTAGTGTTTGTTCTTGGGGCAACTGGCACAGGAAAATCAAAATTGGCAATAGAAATAGGTAGAAGATTCAATGGAGAGATAATCAGTACAGATTCTATGCAGGTGAAAAACGATAAATAAGTACTGAAAAGTATCGAACAGACTCTAGATATACTAAGCCATTAAATTTAGGTGTATGGTGTAACGATATAGCTTAAATTAATTATATACTGTAGCTTTAAAATACTCTGGTAACCTATTCAGAACAGCTAGATAACTATTTTTTTTAAAAATTTTTTTGCAATCTATTTCTTTTAAAATTAAATAGACAGAATGTTGCAAGTATTTGAGTAATTTGACTTTATTTGTGCTATGGACCATCAAATCAGTAGCCGCAATAATGTAGCCCTCTCCCTTTTTGGGGGGGGAGAGAGGGCTACAACTCTTTAGGATCTCCGTAATGGTGCAATGCGGCAGCGATTCACTCCAGCACGGATTTCAGCTCAAATTGTCAGAAAACGGCTTTTTAATTAACATGTCTTCCCGGACTTCCAAAATGTAGTTATACAAGACATAAATTGATCCAAAAATATACAGAAAAATCCATTGTTGTTTATTTTTCGAGTATGTCAACATCACAACTTAAATTTATCCGCCATGTTTACTGACCTTGAGAGATTTTATTTTGAGACAGTCAATGAGATTAAGGATCTCTAGGGAGCGGATTTCTTTGGAATTACCTTATTTTAAGCCTAAATATCGCTGTTTTCATAAAAATAACACATGGTATGATTTCATTTATCAATGTTTACAGATACTATTCATCACAATTATTTATAAACACTGACACCTGCTTTATTGAGTTATTCTAAATTTCAAGTGCAAGTCTCAGTATGTAACGTGTGAACTGTTATGGCTGCTGAGTAGAAGCGACAAGTAAACACTCAGATTTATTTTATTACATGGTTTTTGTGTTAAACGGGCTATGTTGTCGACAGTGAATAAAAATCTTGTCTTATTAGAAGTAAGTTGAATGTAAAAACAATTTATTCTGCCTGCAGTCGCCCATATTAAAAAAAATATTTTTGCACCATTACGGAGATGCTGTGGAATTGTAGCCCTCTCCAGAAAACATCAGATAAAAAAATCGGAGGGGGCTACATTATTGCAGCTATCAAAACAGCAACCCAAATCAAAGATAGTTCTAGTTTTTAAATAGTGTCTCACCAAAGGGTGTATTTTCAATGTCTGGATGATGTACACCTCTTTTTGTATATTGAGGCATGGATAAGTATGTCAGATTGCTTCACATGGTGCTGAATCAGAATTATTACCTATCATTATACCCCCTCTTTGAAAAGCAGGAGGGTATATACTTCCAGAGTAAAACATAAACTTTGCCATTATAATCATATGGGAGGCGGGGGTATCATTTAATGAGCTCAGTGCTCACCATCTTCGCTAGCCAAGGGTTTCTGATACGCTCCTCTCCTCATAAACCCTTGGCATACGGTGAAGTCAAAAGACAGGATTGTTTTCCGTCACGTGATCTCGAATCTATCAGGTACGCACAGATTGCGTCATCGCCAGAAATAAAGACACGTGTTTAAAGAAATTAAATCAAAGTTTTTTCAAGAATAATTAAGAAGCAATAATTGAGTTATGTTTATTCATTATTTATAGAACAAATCTAAAGCTTCAATATAGATTCTTAATCACATATTTAGAAGATATTGGATGACACCATGGCTATTCATAGAATTGAATGTTATCTTACGAATCGTTGTTTACTTGCGTTTTTCATTTCCAAGATTAAAGAGTGAAGATGTATCCCGAACGCAAATATCGTCATTTACAAAAAACAATTGCTGATTGGTCAACCTGGGTGTACTAAAATCCAATCAGAACTTTGGAAAAAAATCCCGATTTCTATGAACACCGTAGGCCAAGGGTTTATGAGGAGAGTAGCGTATCAGAAACTCTTGGCTAGCGAAGATGAGTGCTCACAGTAACTCTAGTTTGTGTTGTTGTCAGACCATTGACCTCCTTTATAATTTCATTCAAATTGTACTGCTTTATTTAGCCCCACTAGGCCAGAAATTTTACAACTTTGAGTAAAAGTCTCTCAAAAAGACGCAATTTGATGGGCAATTTTTTTTCTTGTCTTGTTTTCAGAAGAGTGCAAAGTTGAATATTACACTGAGATGTAACTTTTTGCACATCCTTTTAAAAAGTGTGATAAAATAACTAATTCAACCTATTCTGAATACTTTGATAAAGCTATATAGGTAATTCAGGCTATATAGATTAATCAACAGGTTTGCTGGATGTGTATTAGGATACCGGTACAGTGGACCTTCAGATATCCGGACACCAGATATCCGGATGCTTCAGTATCTGGACGACTTTTTATTGGAACAGAAATTTTAAACGTAATGTTGTCTTGTTTAACTGGTAATTCAGATATCCAGACGCTTCACATATCCAGACAAACTGACTGGGAACCAAAGCGTCCGGATAAATGAGGCTCCACTGTATATCCATTACAGCATATTCAATGCAAGTAGTGGTGTAGTGTTTTCCATAAAAACTGGCTTACAGCCAAATTGACCACTTCAATTGATTAAAATGCTGCATAGAAATCAAAAATTGTTGTAAGGTTGATAGAGATTCTTTTCATAAACATCAAGCCTGTAACAATTTATTTTTAAACCTTTATTTTGAAATAAAGAAAAAACACTGGTGATGTGCCATGGATGATGGATAGTTTAATACACAAAAATGTTCATATGTTGATGTTTATTAGTGATTGAAATACAAAATATTTGATCTGTTGCAGGTTTATCAGGGACTGGACATTGTTACTAACAAAGTGACCTCGGAGGAACAGGACCTGTGTCCTCATCACATGATTAACTATGTCAGTCCACTAGAAGAAGATTATCACATCCACCGCTTCAGGGGCAAGGCTTTACCTGTAGTATCCTTTGATTTCTACATGATTTAACAATTAACTGTTAGTGAATTGGATTGGATCCATAGTTAAAAATTAATTTTTTTTCCGAATATTTCTTTTAAAATATGTTGTTGAATTTAAGGCTATGATGAAAAATGTGAATTTTATTTATGATTATAATGAAAAAATCCCAGCGAATAATGAATGAAATATTTGGAATGATAGGCTGTCTTGTAGAACTAGGAAAGAAAGTGAGGAGTTTCTTTATATAGTGAAGTTCATGTTTTCATTGTTTTTCTTTCTGCTAACTATAGCTGCTGGTCAGTTTTGTGAAGAAAAAAATCAATTGAAATTGGTATTATTCCTTAGTGACTACCATAGATAGAGCAACTTTTGAGGGATAAGAAACTACCCATTGTAGTGGGAGGAACAAACTACTATATTGAATCGTTGCTTTGGAATACCCTGATCAAATCAGAGGTAAGTCACACTATAAAAAGTATTTTACGTTAAAAAAAGTTTTATGGATAATATAGTGTGAAACTAAGTTATGATCATATTCAATGCCCAGGGTTAAAGGGTATATCTGCCAATATTTACAAATGCTTGCAACCTGTAATCAAAGGTTTATACATGTATAGAATACAAAGGGAATGGTTACAAGTTCTAACAACTTATTATATGGAAGCGGTTTATAGCTACTGTTTAAAAATACAAATTTGAAAAATTTTGCAATTTTAATCATCATCATGTATTCTTAATTGTAAGAAGAATGGTAAATAACTTTGAAGTAGCTAGTTGTGATTTAGCTTAAGTTATTTAGAAAATTACTTATACCGTGTAGGGTAGTGAGAAAAAATATTGTTTAAAGTTTGGATTCTTAAGCAACAGTGCATTTTTTAGGTCACCTGAGTAAACTCAGGTGACCTATTGCCATCTGTTTTCGTCTGTCGTCATCCGTCGTGCGTTAACATTTGAACATTTTCAGCTTCTTCTCTGAAACCACTGAACCAATTTCAACCAAATTTGGCATAGAGCATCTATGGGTGAAGGGAAACAAAAATTATGAATTTCATGGTCCCTGCCCCCCTGGGGCCTGGGGGATGGGGCAAAAACCACTAAAATTAGTGTAATCTTTAAAAATCTTCTTCTTTACTCCTGGACATCAAGCAGTCAAACTGTTGGTATGATTGTAATCAGCATTGAGTCCTCTACCAAAATTGTGAATTTCATGGCCCCAGGGCAAGGGGTTTTAGTGCTATGGCGGGGCTATATAGGTTATATAGTGAAAATGCATTATTTCTTTGAAATTCTACTTTTCTGCTCCTGGGCATTAAATAAACTAACCAAGTGCATAGTCATGTTGAATAAGACTGCCTCTTCTAAAATTGTGAATCTAATGGCCCCAGGGTCAGGGGTTCTAGTGGCAGGGCGGGGCTATATAGTGAAAATGCATTATTTCTTTGAAATTCTACTTTTCTGCTCCTGGGCATTAAATAAACTAACCAAGTGCATAGTTGAGTTGAAAATGACTGCCTCTTTCCAAAATTGTGAATTTCATGGCCCCAGGGCAAGGGGTTTTAGTGCTAAGGCGGGGCTATATAGATTAATTAGTGAAAATGCAAAAATTCTTTGAAATTCTTCTTCTCTGTTCATGGGCATTAAATAAACTAACCAAGTGCATAGCTATGTTGAATAAGACTGCCTCTTCCAAAATTGTGAATTTCATGTCCCCTGGGTTGGGGGGTTCTGGTGTTAGGGTGGGGCTTTATTGATAATATTAGTGAAAATGCATAAATTCTTTAGAAATCTTTTTTTCTCACCTGGGTATTTAACCAATGAACAATGTACAGAGTTATGAGAAGGAAGGATGCCTCTTTGAGATTTGTGAATTTCAGGGACCCAGGATCAGGGCTTCTTGTGTTAGGGCGGGGCTCTAATTTAGTGAAAATGCATAAATTCATAAATTTATGCATCTTCACTAATTTAGTGAAAATGCATGAATTCTTTGAAAATGTTTTCCTTTGTTCCTGGGTATTATGCCAAAGATCTTAGTATACATTTTTGATGAAGAAAGCTGCTTCTTCCAAAAACGGTTATTTTCCTGGCCCCTGGGACAGAGGTACTGGGGGGGGGGGGGTACATTGTCTGAAAATTATTTAATGCTTTGAAATCTGCACTTTGGTATTAATCAACAACATGATGAAATAAAATTTATAAAATTTCCAAAATTTTGAAAGATGTGGCCCCAGGTTCAGTGGTTCCTGTGGGATGGGGTGCACAGCTGATCAAGTGGAAATGCATTTTCTCTTTGTTACTCTGATCTACCTCGGGGTATTTAAAAGTAACCAAAGTAAGCATGCTGAGTGTATAATTATAAGCAATGGTGCCTCTTTCAAAATTGTGTCAGAATTCCATGGCCTCTGGTTTAAAACATGAAGCAAATTTAATTTGTTGGAAAGTTGTTGCATGATACTCAGGTGACCTATAAGGCCCATGGGCCTCTTGTTTAAACATCCATTTTCAGTGATGAAGTATTTTTATGTTTAACAGGAAAACAAGAGTAAATGTTTTGCCCAACATCAGATATTGAGGGCATATTGTTGGGGACATGACCTTGTTGACTCAAGGTCATTTAGGGAAGTTTTAGGTCACTGGCAGAAAAAAAGATTTGTAATCTGAGTCTGTTTATTACTAGAAATGGCCATACACATTAGATGTACAGTAATTTTATTGCTGCCTGCTGCAAAGTTTTAAATCCAAGTGCTACTTTTCTATTGTTATACATACAGACCAGTAGAGCTACAGTTTCATCAGAGACTTCTGGTTTTATTCTTGGCTTATGACTTGTAAACTTCACATTAGCTTTCCTTTTTAGTGTTTAAAATACAATAAAGAAAATAATTATTTTCTTACAAATATTTGAAAAAGGTAAAAATTTTAAAATTATCCTGAAAATATGCTGCTCTGAATTTCTTTGACTGTGAAATGATTTAGATAAAGCTCTAGCAATGTTCTGTTAAAAAGCCATGGAAGTTCATATTACATGTAGCAGTTTAATGTCTTGTGAGATTTTAGGGAAAAGGACTTCTTTATTTTGAGTGTGTGTGTTTGTTTTGGGGAGGGTGGGGGTGGGGTCATGCAGTAATATACATAGCCTTCAGTTCTAATTCTTCTTTGTATAGAAGCAATGACAAGAAGGGAAGAAAATATATCTAAGATTAGATATTACAAGCTGTAATATTTCACATTCAATTTGGTTTCTCAAAAAGAGGTGACTGTACAGAGAAGAAAAAATGAAGATAATTATCATATGTATGGTTTATCTTTGTCTGTACAGAACCCAGAAGAACTCCTTGATGTGAAGTACCCATCAGAAAGTAGGGGGACACGCTTGACGTCAGTCTCTCTGTAAATCTTGAGGGTCCAGGAAATGTTTCTTCATGATAAAATTAAAAGTCCAAAGTAGGTTATCTGCAGCAGATTTCTCTTAAGATTACACCTAATTTAATGCTTTATAATTGTGCAGAGTTTGTCGACCTTTTTGTACAGATGTAGTGAATCTGCCCTATCTTTTTTCCGGGTTTTGTTATGTAATATTTAATAAGGAAATTATTTATGGAAATCCAAAATTCCAGCAGTGATGACAATGCTTGTTACATTTGTTCCTGGATATTTTTTGTATCTCTCTCTTTTTGATTGGTCAGAACTACATATACTTTATGCATTGTGGATGTAGCCTCAGTAATGGTCAAGTTCTGCACTATGTCCAGTGCATCAGGACAATTTACCTGTAATTTCTCAGTCATTAAAAACCCTTTGATATAAGCAATTTTTTAAAGTTTTAGTAATCGTAATTTTTTTTTATCCAAAATAAAAGGATCACTTGTTTTATTTTTTACCCCCAATTTCTATTTTTACAATCTCCATTATATTTAAGGACATTCCCAGGTAGCTGGTTGTTCTAAATCATGATCTAGACTCAACAATCAACCACTTTCACTGTCTCTCTCATCACTTCACTGAGTTTTTTAAGTAGACATAGATATAGTGGTTTATTTGCATATGTGTGAGTGGTTGACATCGTTGACTTGGAGGTAGGTAACTTCAGCAGTTATTAGGGGCCTTTTGATTTTGGGATCATGTTTGGGTTAATATCACTTTGTCTGTTTGTCTATACTCATGTTTGAATGTTCATCTGACATCATCACACTTTATAGTGACTACTGTAACTTAATTAATTTTCAACCCAACATTTTCAAATTTTGTACATTGTATAGAGCAAATTTCACATTTTACACAAAATTTACTATATTGAGTTATAATTTAAGGCCCCACTTTGAAGAAGAGAGGGTGCATGGCTTTGCTGCTGTCTGTCGGTCAGTGGGTCAGTCTGTCGGTCCACCATCAGTTTCCATTCATTTTCTGTGCAGAGGTTTCACATATTGAAATGAAATTTGGTATACAGATTTATCTTAAGAATATGTAGGTCAAATTCTGTTTAGGATACAATTGGGCCATATTAGATAGAGTTATGCCCCTTGGACTTACAGAGCTGCCAACCCTTACGATTTTGGCGTAAGGCGTGCGAAATCAGCGTCTAAAATACGCCTTACGATTTCTCTCTATATTCTTCCGATTGCAGTTTTTTTTCGTTCAAAGTTTATAATACCCGTATTTTCATAGCTGGCAGTCTATATAGTTTCTACAGTTATAATATATTCATTATTCTTACAACGCTTGCTTGTATCATCGTTTCGGTTTTAGAATGCCAATCACATTCATGTCAATGTTTTAAAGTAAACAGAATAGAAACATGCCTCAAATTGCATGTTCATTTACAAAACAACATCAGCGGCAGAGGGCCTAGGTGGTCCGTAGACCTCGCCTTACTATTTGTTATTTCAGAATGTTGGCAGCTCTGGACTTAGAAAAATTCCAATAATTTTTAGTTTCTGTACATTTTCTTTGCAGAGGTTGCACATACTGAAAAGAAATTCAGTATACAGATTTACCATGTCCTTTTTTGACAAAGTTATGTCCTTTGGACTTGGAAAAATTCAAATTAATTGGGGGAAGTGGGCATCTTTGTTTAACAAACATCTCTTGTCAAGAGTTACATTACTTTGTCTGTCTGTATATATGCAATCCTGAATGTTTTAATAAGTAGTTATTACTCCTCTTTAATGGCCCTTAGTTTTCTAGTTAAGAGCTGATTTTTGTCACCTCTAGGTTTTTGCAAAGGTGAATAATTTTCGTATTTCAATTACACAAGAGGTCAATGCTATACATGGTTTTTTTAAAGTAACTGTTATCTGCTTTTCCTTGATTTATTTGTATTGATTCCTCCAAATAGAACAGGAATCATAGATTGCCTGATTCTTACATAATACAATGTCTATACCTATATTATGAATTCAGTACCAGGGGCAGGTTGTGTATGAGGGAGAGGAACTAATTTCTTGGCTTTTCCTTTCCTACAAAACATTCAAAACATGCATATGACATTATTACCTAATGTAGCAAAACATTCTTCCTTGTCCTAGGGGAGTCGATAATAAGTCATATTCAATGGTATGTTAGTCTTCCAAAAACCTTGAACATACCTTCTTTACATATTTATGTTCTGTAATGCTTTGGAAGAATTTTCAGAAAAAAATCACATGAAGTCATGATATTTTAGGCCAGGTAAAATTAATATTTAGATTCTCATCCTAATTTGCTAAAAAATTGGGGCGGGTGGGCGGATTTTATTTTTTATTTTTTATAATTGTTAATTTGTAAGTATCAACAAAACAATGGACGCCCCTTACACATTTTTTTTTCATTATGTTGTTTTGAACATATTTTATTGTCAAGCAAAAGGATAAGAAACAAGTTCTAACAACTTTCATTATGTTAATGCAAATATGAATAGATTTAATTCTTTTCATATTCTTTTAAATATTTAAAGAAAATGTTTGCTTTAAAAATTAAATATTTATTGTTAATCAACAAATTATCAAGTACACATTATACGGCACACCCTGAACAAAATGAAGTGGGGATACCAATAAATTGTGTATGCCTGACTTCTTATTTTGCAAAATCTATATAAATGTTCTAATAATTATTCTACTGAAAAATCTAGGCCTTCTCTTAAGTCTGTCTACGATGTTGTAGCCTAAGGTTTTTTTATTATTTCAAAGCAAAGTTACACAGCTGGAGATCGTTATATATAACTTGACCAGGTGTCATTTTCCTCGTCTATTTTTACTGAGTTACAATCTCTCTAAAGACTTGCTCCTGCCAGTGATGGTATCTATATGTGTTTATGCTAATTTTTTTCTCTTCCTTCTCTATACTGACAAATTATCTTTTTCTTACATATTTAAACTGCTTTTATTGCTGATTTTTCTCCATTCTTCACATGGCGTTTTTGCTATAAATAGCGACACGCGACTTTTAATGGGAGATAACTCTTAAACTTTGAAAAACTGAATAAAAATACATGAAAATACCCAAAAATCAAAATAAAAAACATCGGGGCGGGACATATTTTGAGAGGGGCGGGCGGGGATGAGAATCTAAAGATTAATTTTATATGGCCTTAATATAAATAGTTTATTTTCAAAAAGTTAGATTGGTCTTTACTATCATTAATACATTTCTTTAAAACTTTTGACAGTATTGATTTTGGCATACATTTAGAATTTTAATTTTATGGATGAATGATTGGAGTTTTTAATTAATCATGCATTTTCCTTGCATTAATTAAACTTTATATGTCCACAATTACCATTTCAAGTTGAAAGAATAACAGTTTGAACTGAGGGAAAAACAAGTTGCATTGACATTTATAACTTTAATTAAATATGATAAGTAAAACTTTGACCTAATATGTACTTAAATGAGATGGTCTGAGCACCTTGCAAATATGTTGTTTTTTTAATTTAGTTGTGAATGAATGAAAGAACCAAGAGTGCATATTTTGAAGATGAAATTCCCAAGATTATGAAACAAAACTTGTGTATAATTCAGGAAATACATTTATATGATGAGAAAGTGTTGGATTAGTCTAGCTTCATTTAGATGCTATAATTAAGCTCATCCAACATCCAATTGTAATAACATCAAATTATAGTAATATTCCATTCGCTCATTCAGAAATACTGCAATAGGGGAAAAGTTGAAGGAATTAATTTTGTGACCTTTTCTTATTAACTTTTTTTGTTCATTCTGTCATTTAATTACTTAATTATTCCTAAAATGAAGGGTAAAATGATTATGAAGTCTGACACTAAATGAATTCTCTGCATCACAGCAGCATGTAATTGTTCTTATCTTAATGTGATTATCAATAAACATGAGTAATCTCTCTCTCTCTCTCTCCCTGCTCTCTCCCTTTGTCTCCTTCCCCTGCTCTCTTCCTTTTCTCTCTTTCTCCCTCTTCCTCCCTCTTCCCTCTGTCTCCCTCTCCCTCCCTCTCTCAGAAGTGACACATACATTTCCGTGACCCCTTTGAGGTTTGAGTGATCCTGACCACAGAGAGGTAAACCATTAGAGATTTATCATAAATGTAAAGTAGAACCTGATCAATCTCAAAAACCAGATGAGGCACTTTGTGAATGAAATAAAAAATGTGTGAGAAAATCTGAGAGTGGTAGCCTCCCATGTTGTGTCTAGTGTAGTACAAATCAACCTTAACAGGTTATGCTGAAAGCTGCAGGGGGCCCAGAAGTTTTTGCTTGAGGTTGCTGTAAAAATACACAATTACCTGACACTTTAAAACATTGCAGGTCATATCAAGTAGGTGCACTAAGTTGTTTTACATGTATCCACAAAAAGGGGGTGAAATTTAATTTCATCGTCTGGGGGATATTAGCAGCAATTAGGAGAAAGCAATAAATGAGCAAAAGTTGTAAAAATAAAAGGTTATCAGAAGGGAGACTTCTACAAGTGCTGTGGCTGGGTGATTTAGGGGAGGGGATTTTTCTTTTTAGATGGGAAGGTTAGAGGAATGATGGTGTATCATTTTCTACTCGGAGACAATTTGTGAAATCAGCAGCTATCTGTGTAAGGGATGGGCCAGCTGTTTTACTGTAGTTACAATTTATGAGGGGCTCTGAAATGCATACTGAAGTCATTAGAGTTAACAGGGAATTAATAGTCAAGCACTTGGAGTCAATTTGCTAGGTTGTAATACACTTGTCAGAGAATTTGTATACACTTGTTGCAGTGCCTCTTAGGACAGTGGAGGATTAGGGCACATTGTAAGGAGCGGACTTTCCAAGGGGTCTGTCAAAGATGACAGAAGGGTCTTTTTATAGGGGTCCATTTAAAAAAGATGTCTAGTCACACTTATCATTTTCCTCCCATTTAGACCTTGAATGGAGATAAAATAGGTGTCCTTGTTCTTACTCAAGTAATTTTTGAGGATCACTTATAAAAACGGGAAGCTGCGCTGAAAGGGCTTTTTAGCCAATCATTTTTTGTCTCAACCTTTTTTGTTCCATATACAGTGAAACTGTACAACTGATAATTGTAAGAAGTCAGTAGTTTGGACAAATGACAAAGTCTTCAAGTTTTGGCTAATAATGGGCTACTCATAAAATGTAACAGATAAATGGGTACCTTTAAATATTACCATCACTATAATACCTATTACATCTGCACATGTACTTTAATTAAATGAAATTAACAAGCATTACATCATGGCTATATTTAGCCATACATTATGTGATTGTCCCGCAGAGAACCCTCAATACAGCCTCCCTCCCCTTATTGTCCCCTCCACATTTTTAACATTGCCCCTGTCCTCAGTGTTAATTGTCCATTACTAGAGATAATCCTAAGAGAGGTCAATCTTGTTATAGATGTCCAGTGGTCATGCTGACTTCCCTGGACACACTTCAAGGTTTCTGCCCCCTCCTAAATCACCTCAGCAATGGTGCCTTTGTTCCGTCCAGAATTTTGTGGTGTCAGATTCAAGACCATGTATCAATGGATTCTTCACACTGAAGTCAAAGAACTGCAAGCTCAGGGGAATAGCTATCAGAAGAAAAATCTTTGTTCAATTAGTCAATTTCATTTTCTGTCTGCTGAATTTCTTTTCAAATAAATCTGAATTCAGCTGTACACAATTTAATTGGAACCACACATTTTTATTGCCGGTGATGATAGAACTGTGAATGTTTTTGTGAGGTTCCTTTGCTTGTTTGTTACTCATAAAGAGATTCCTTTATAAAAACCACTGTATAACAATGTATGTATTAATACCAATGTTCATATTTGTGCATGGTTATAATAAATTGTTGATAAATTAGCTAAATTACCAAGATCTAAATTTGCTGAATTATAAGACCCAAATTTAATGGACCAAAGATTCATAATTAATCTTTAGTCTTTAGGAATACCAAAGTACAATGTATGCATGTCTGGGGATTATACAAATGTATTTTGGAAAAAGGCTTATTTTTCTCTAAGCAGGATTAATTAACCTGGTTTAAGGGGACAAATTTAACCCATTACAACTTAGGTCCCTATCTATCATTCTAAAACTTCATGAATAAATCCATGCAATTTCTACTCACCATGTCACAGATATTCATTAACTTAATCTTTAGATAATGATATATGTTCCTCATCTGCATAATTCAGGGTTCGTTTCACCTCGATGTACTTTGTCGCAAAAAATAGCAGCAAAAGGGGGATAACTCTTACATACATATTTCTCTCTTTGCAGGATATCCAAAGAGCAAAGATGAGTTCAGAGCCATCGGAAGGTAAAGAGGGTGACATTGAGGCCAATAAAGCTTGTGAAAAGGAAGGAAAAGATGGTGACACTGAGACCAATAGAAAAGAGGAAGTGGATAAATTGAGTGAGGTTGTAACAGAGGAGGAGAGCTGTAATCATCTGCGATCCGAGAAGGACAGCGTTTACCGAGACCTGGACACTCGCACCCTGTACCAGAGTCTACAGTCCATAGATCCACTGACAGCCAGCCGCCTTCACCCCAACGACAGGCGGAAAATGCTAAGGTAGTCATTTTGTGGATTTTATTGATGAAAATCAATCTATTATGATTTGTCCACAAAAATTTCAAAGGGTTTATATATGTTTTGAAAATACTTTTTCCAATTTTGGCATCATTTTGTGTTGAACTGTATGAAGACTGGTAAAAATTCAATTTGACATGACATTAAATTGCCCCTGTCCAGTTTTAGCTAACTTTTGGCCTACTTAGAGGTTGATGACAAAAATTACAGCTTAATTTCCTTTATCATGTCACTCAAACAGCATTATTAATTCATCTATTTAAAATAGTAATGTAAGTTGTAGAAGAAAAGTCCTTGCCTTTATTTTAACATACTTAGTAAATTCTTCTTTTTTAATTTCATCTTTCACTTTGTAGGTAGGCATAGAGTCTTTAGTTGGAATATCTCTACCTTTTAAAATATGAAAGGAGGTGTATAGACAGGAAATTAATTGCTATTTTGCTCGTCTTCAGATAATTGATGCTCAGACATGATTAGAAAAATTGTTTATCAGTTCGGTATGTTGTTCTCTACTGACATGGAAATTGGAAATGCATTCAGGTATAAAGTGCTTTTAGATGACTTGAGATATAAACATGCAAGGAGTCAGTGTAAAAGTGCGCAGACTTTAATGAAATAAATAGATGCATCTAAACTGTCATTCATGCCTTTGATTTCACATTCAGTTTTACCCTCTGCATATTAAACAAGAGACTAGCGGATAATTTATGTTAAAGATATGTAACAAAAACTAAATGTATCAAATTATTTTTATAGCTTCAAGAGACCACTTTGTCATGGATTTTTTGTGGAGCAATAGAAAAATGGGACGAATAATTAACATATCAATGAATGAAATGTCCTTTCGTGAGACTTGACTGTATTGTTCTTATGTGTAAATCAAGCGGATACTTGTGGGCGTCCCTGAAAGGAAAAAAAGTACAATCTTTATTAACATCGATAAAGTCAATTTATTTTAATCTTTAACATATTCAATTATTAATAGTCTTTTTTTACGACAAATCGGAAAAGTCGAGACACTTCTCACTGACTTTGAGGGATTATGACATCTTTTTTTAAAAAAAACATTTTTTATTGCCCATGTTTGTTTAAAGTACTCCTAGAAAGGTTAGATGGTGCACTTCCTTCATTAACTGTGCAGTTTCTGAATTTAATTACTTTTTTTTAAATGATGAGAAAAAGGTTGCATGTTTTTATGAACAGATTGTCCAATAAGTAATCTGCAAAAAGCGAACACAGATAAATGTATATGAAATGTTAATTACCCTTAGTGTTAATTAAAAAATCAGCTTTTTATCATGTAGATATGAAATAGAAATACCATCACATTTCAACAGGGCTTCAGTGGAAAGTTTGCAGCGAGACATTGAAAATGGACAAAAGACATTTTTTTCTCTGTCAAGGTTAAATCATTTCCCAGACATTAGCACATTGTGAAAGCATGAAGTATACATTAATCTATTTGTATATAATTTTTAAAATTACTTTGTACTCTCTAAAACATGAAAAAGGTTAATAATTATAATTTGTGAAGAAGACAGAATTTCAATATAAGAAAACTCACATATAGGAGTTGATATAGTGGCTCATTTTCATTATTAGGAGACAGCTCATCATTTCATATGGTAAAAACATACTCCAGGTGTGAAATCTTGAATAGTTTGATCTCTTTTTGACAACATTTTATTCAGTGGTTTGAAATTATGAATATTCATGTTTAGTACTTTTTAATGCTATTATTTTGTGTTGGTTGATGTAGATTTCTCCCTAAATTTAGTTTAAGTAAAGAATCGTGTGTCTGAGAATTTTATATGTGAACTCTGATTTCAGAGAGTCATATAGTGCAGTCCTTTATATCAGAGAAGCATTCTACCTTAGTTTATCCAATGGCATTTCAGTTCTGATACATGTGTTCAGTGCATATTATTATAAAAGATACTTTTAATTCACCAAGAAATATTTTTTTTTTAAACTTCAAAGTCTTGAATAATGATTTTGATGGACCATTTAGGCAAAAGAAATGTTTCAAAATAATTGTACATGTACTGATAAGATTTAAAAATTGCATATAACTAGGGGTTTACTTCACAAACAGGAATTATCTGCTCATGAAATAAAAACTACAGCTTGTTGAAGACATTTTGATCCTAGAGCAGACATTCTCCTCTTTATGGGGATTAAAATAATAAATTTCTTTTATGTGGGAAACCATTTCGTATTTATGTGATTATTACATTAAACATAATTTTTATACCTTTATGGTCATGGAGCATAAGAAATCTTCTTTAACAGGAGATAAGCCTTTATAGTGACATCATCCTTTTGATGTGAAATCAGAATACTTTCTGGCTTTGTGTAGAAATCGGTATGGCTTTCACATTTCCAACATTCAGTCACCTGTATGATTTTATGCTAAATTCACTGTTCATCTTTCCCTTTTAAATGATTAAATTTTTAATGCCCAATTTACATTATTTTTTTCCATCATAAGTTGGGGAGTGCTGCATTAAGTAGATGTATTAATGTATGATTTAAATGCTGTACATTACTACTGTGGTTTGCTTGTGATTTCAGGGCCTTGGAAGTTTATGATGTTCATGGGGTTCCAGTGAGTGAAATCTACAAGGCCCAGAAATCAGCTGATTGTCAGGGGGTCACAAAACTAAGGTATCCCAACACCTGTGTCCTGTGGGTCCAGAGCGAACAAAGTGGTAAGACAGAGGAAAATAATGTGTACAAACATTGGTGTATACTGTCTGTATGTCTGTAAGTGTGTGTGGATTGAGAAATCAAAAGATCCATGAACCATTTTCACCCATATATTAAAGTCCTGCTTTTTGGGGAAAAAAATTGCATCCCAAAATAACATCACCTATAATGAAATCACCATTAAGTATATTGCACACATCTTTAATACAAGTAACTATTGTGCTAATTATTTTGTTCATTGGGTTGTACAAATTTGCAATGATTATGTTATCAAAAACTGCCTGCAAATTTAAACTGTCTGCATTTAGCCACAAGTCCATCCTCCCCAATATCGGTCTATTCCTAATCTATAATGGAATTGACTGATATAAAAAAGCAATGTATTGTATATCACATAAGAAGATATCATATTAAAAAAATTTTGTTTAGTACACAGCCAACTTCATTTGTTTTTATTCCGCTGACCTTAGACAGGAGGTCATGTATGATTCATATCTATAAATACCTGTAACAGATGAAGGGTTACTAACACAAATACAATGGAGGAGCTGGTAGATTGATGTCTTATTGTCTTACTTCACCATGTGCTGGCTTATGCTGCTTTACAATGTCCCATTTGTCACTTGTAGTATCTATATGCATCAATATCAGGTATGCTTCATAGACAGGAATTTCTTATGTTCATCAATTCCATTTCTTAAGCTAGTATTGATGTGGAGTCGGGAAGATAAATGACTTATGGCTAAAGTACAGACAGTTTAGATTTGCAGACAGTTTCAGATCATATAAACAATGTCTGTCTGAACTGCCCAAAATGACCACTCTGATTTCTTTACAACTTAATTTCCAAGTCATAAGGCTATTGACCAAAAAGGTTTAGCATAACTAAATTTCTTGCATTTATACTGATGTAACTGACGAAAAAACCCTGTTACATGTACTCGGCTGTAAAGAAGGTAATAGTGATGAGATATTTTAATGTTTTGATTTCAGTTTTAGATGATCGTACAAATAAACGAGTAGACACCATGATAGAGAGAGGGTTGATACAGGAGTTACTGGACTTTCATCAGCAGTACAATGCCAAGAGAGAAAGGGAAAACAGGTGAGTCATGTCTTCCATGTTTCTTATTTTATAATGGAGTGAGTAGAATACAGGAACCAATTCAAAATGAAGAGATGCCTTATCTAATTACTAAATATATACAACTGGAAGACTGGTTTTAAAGTATACAGTGTCTAAACCCATTTATTCTATAATAAAAATTTTATTAGCTCATTTAGTCAGGGTTATTGAATAGATTTACATTTGATTGTGAATTTCTGTGAACATTTATAAAATTTATAAATAAATAAGGGTGTAGGAGATTTTGAAAGAATAAATGTAGAATATTTTGGGAGTTGGTTCCGTCTCCTTTTGACCAGTGGAAGTGTAGGGGAAGGGAGATAAATCTTACTATTATAACTACACATGTATATACTTTCGTTAAGGCCCTTGATACTGGTTATCTTGTTGAATGAAGATGAATTAAAACCTTTTACATGCAAGCTTTGAATCAGGGTTGATGAACTAGAACTTTTTTATTTTGTTTTCAGTTTGGTTTGAAGTGTACTTATAAAGATTTAAAAATGAATATTTTGTTACAGAGAAATAGACTACACAACAGGGATATTTCAGAGTATAGGATTTAAGGAGTTCCATGAATATCTTCTTTTATCCGAGGAGGAAAGAAATTCAGAAAAGGGAAAACTGATGTTTGAAAAAGGTGTGTGATTTGTTTTACAACATGTATCCATAGGGCTTTATAATATTCCAGAGTATTGTGGTTTGTTGACAAAAATATCGTTTTTCAGCACAGATAAACTGGCAAATACTCAGGCTTAGAATTAAAGAATAGACTCAAGATTCCTAGAATAAAATAAATATATTGTATTTTATGTATTGAAGTTTCTTTCCGCAAAAGGACACTAAAAAGAATGCACAGCCTAATGTAATATGTTTACAGTACAAAGTTTAGGATGTCAGAAATAAAGCCAGATAATAGACAAACATTGAAAGATGGGTGCTTAACTGTAGATGATTCATTGACAACAAGAATGTTTTGAGTTATGATCTATGATAGTTACATTCATTCTGGCCATAAAAGAAGCTAATAAAATATCTAAAAAGCTCATATAATTTTTAATCGGAAATAAAGCAATACACATTGCACTACATTTAAAATATTGCAATACAAAATTTCCACCCAATACAGCCAAAATCAAGACCTGTGTATTAATATCATATGTGTGCAGTGCACTGAGAAATTCATGGATTATTTGATGTAAACCTTGTTTTATTCAGTACATATGTATAATAAGACTTATTATTCCTCTTAGTTTATGGTATTTGTTCATAACTTTATCCCTTCCTTCCTTTTTATGATGATAATGCAAATTTTCAAAACTAAGGTAATTTTTTTCCTTTTGTACAGGTGTTGACAAAATGAAGACAGCAACAAGACAATATGCTAGAAGACAAATTCACTGGATTAAAAGCCGACTCTTAAGATGTGAGTGTTAATACTAGACACAAATTAATATTAATCTTTAATTGGTCTATTCCTCCCCCCATTTTTATGACAAAGAAATTAGTATGATACATCTTTTTCTATAGACAAGGGAAGTAACCCTCCTCCCGTGTATGCAGTAGATTCCACAGATGTGAGTCAATGGAAGGAAAAAGTCCATGATCCCGCCATACAAATTGTCCAGGATTACGTGAATGTAAGCTTTGATTAGTCTGTTATTTACCCAAAAACAAAAAATTAAAAATCTTTCATGACAAGTTATGTAAGTAGCATGGTAAATTTCCAAAATTTCTAAAAAAAAAAGAAAAAAAAAAAATTAAATAAAATTTTTGACAAGAACAACCCTACCATTTTGATTTTTATGATGTACTTGCATATTATATTTTCTATTTCCAAGGGTGTTGTTCCCTCACAGGAGCCCGTACCATTGACTGAGTATGATGATGAAAAGGAGTTCAACCATTGTAAAATCTGTAACAAGACTTTTGTAATGAAGAAGAAATGGCAAAGTAAGATTGTAGCTTGTAAACTTGTCAACCTTTTTTATGTTGACCTACGTTGGGTCAGCTCGTATTAAACAACATTTTCAGCAATATTTAAAGTGAAGTTTCTCATATTATTTTTTGATCAGAATACATAGTTATGATATTCAATTTTTTTATTAATTAGATCATTTGAAGTCATCAAAGCATTATAGAAGACAGAAAAGTATAAAGAAAAGGTACAGTAGTAATCTCTATATTGACCTGTCTAAAGAGCAGTTATGTAAATCTGATATGAAAACAGGTGTTGGAATTTATACCTGTAATAAAATTAAAAGTATATTCCTTATAAACAAATATATACATTTGTGGTATCTCTCTATTATATGAACATACGGAGAACAAATATCTTCAATTCTGTATGAAGTTTGTCTGAGGTCAGAGGTCAATACGTGACCTAATCACATGGCGCAATAATATCTACCGGTGCATAAATACGAGGGGCATTTCAAAAGTTCTGGCAACTGTTTAATAAAAGATTAACCGTTTTACGGAAATTATTGAGTTTGATATCATTGGAAAGATCAGAAAAATATACACATATTGTGACATCACGTTATAATTTTTATTACGTAATGACGACAAAAATGACGTCAGAGTATAGAATGTTTTGCATACTGAAAAGTCGCTTTTTTATCCAAATGAGATGATCGTTAAAGTGCTGCCAAAGGCTTATTTGAAAAAATATTTCAAAGAAAATTTTAATTTGCAAAGAGATAGAGTAGGACTATGTTACTGTGTATCAGCATTTCCATATTTCATTGTATGGTTTGTTTACTATCACGGTTTATGTCCGGTTATGCTATCATCGACATTCATTTAAGATTTATTATTTACATGATACGGCTGGATTTTCGGTCTTTTATATAGCTCTCAATTGTATGAAAAAAAAACATGTTCTGTATAAAACTGAAGTATATTAATGCAGTTTCCAACAAATATATTTTGAGCAACAGGACTCTTACCATTTCCGAATAAAATGTACAAAAGTCTTTCCCCTGACTTGTTTCTGTGCGTATTTTTTCATATTAATTCAACTTCGGCGCCCAAAAACTCGCTACTGATTTTGACTTTTGACTCCAAAATAGGATTATAAGTTACAAAGACATGTAAAATCTTATTTATTTTCCATGCTTTAAAATTTGCGAATATGTGGAGGTACGATGGAGTTACAATTGAGCCGGCGCCATTTTGGATTTTACGAGAAAATATGGGGCACACTAAACTTAACTTCTCTTGAGCCTTCATCGATCCTACAAATCTGGTTAAAAGACATGATGAAATTATGCCATTAAATTTTGTAACAGGATCATCTAATTTTCTTTGATTGTCATCTTTGTCTTTTTCTCACAGTTAGGTCTCTTTTACACAATAGTTTGAGCGATATTCGAGAAAAACATGCTAAGATTGACACTCGCTTAAACCATTTCAGAACAAGAAGATCTCCGAAATAGAACACCATATGATAGATTGTAGTGTATGTAAACATTCCACCAGCTGGCATTTGCGTCCGTTAGCTTGCGTCAGAGTAATGAGCAAAAGTTGTCTTTATAATTTTAATTTGATCAAATTGTGTCTTTTGTTACGTCATATTTATTGTCAGTGTGCTAAACATGCGGAATTCTGACGTCATTTTTGGAGTTATTACGTCATAAAAATTATAACGTAATGTGACAATTTGTGTATATTTTTCTGATCTTTCCAATGATATCAAACTCAATAATTTCCGTAAAACGGTTAATGTTTTATTAAACAGTTGCCAGAACTTTTGAAATGCCCCTCGTACAGCAAAACTCGGTTATAGTGAAGTCCTAAGGACCTGTGAATTTAATTGGCTATATCCGTAATTCGTTATAACCGTATAACGAATTCGTAAAACCAAATAGAGCGAATTCGCAAAATGCAGGTTTTCCTTCAAGTATTACTATCAAGTATGTTAGGGAAGCAAATATTCCAAAACATACCTTCAATAACTAAGGTTTTATTTTGAATTGAATTATATATACAATTCCATGAACAAAAATAAGTCAGTTCAATTTATTACATTTTGAGATCTTTGAAAGTTCATTATAAAAGATGTAAATTTCATTATATTTAACTTCAACGGGACCCAAAATCAGTTCGCTATATCCGTAAATTCGTTATATCAGAGTTCGTTATAACCGTAAAATTTTACAAGGAATTGTTAAGAATTTTGTCGGGGACCCAGAAAAACTTCGCTATATCTGTGAATTCGCTATATCCGTCTTCGTACTAAACGAGTTTTACTGTATATAAAATGACTTGCTCTACTTGCATTTCATGTATATATACAAAATATTCCCTTAGAAATAAAATCCTTATCCTGCTGAATTCGAAGCGTAACCGCCATTCAAGCCGATTTACACCTTGCGTCATTTTTTGAAAATCTACGACGGACGGTTAGTGCAATAATTTATATTTGAAAGTATTCAATTGTCTGTCTCAAATGTATATATAAGTAATAAATTACAAGTTTATAAACTTCAATGGGAATTGAAGTGGGTCGGTACGTGATCAAATCTTCTGAGAAGGCCTTCGGCCTTCACAGGATTTGATCACATGACCGACCCACTTCAATTCCCATTGAAGTTTATAAACTTGTTATTTATTTCTTAATTAGAGCTTACCTGAATCAGGTTACATTTTCAAATAAGTATGTTCTAATAGCTGAAGTGCACCATTTGGCTACTATTTAGTGTCATTTGATAAAGAAGTCAAATTCACAGAGATTTAATTCATATTGCACTGAAAAACACAAACATAAACTGTATATAAAAATATTTGCCCCCCCTCCCAATTTTATTGTGAATTCATGAACAATCAATGTTATAATGTAATTTTTTCATGGTGACATTATACATGTAAGTGGCCAGTGGGTGCAACATTCAATTTATACTGATCAGGCTTAAATAATAAATCAATGCATGAGTTTAAAACTATTTTACACAAATACATGCACTTATGTATAAGTCAGAAATATAATTGATAGGGTATCTATTTAAACATATATAGATATAAATACAGTTTTGGTTGTAATTTGGTACATGATCAAATCTACCATAAAGCCCTTTGGGCTTTATAGAATTTAATCAGGTAACCAATCTGTATTTATGTCCCATTACACATGAAATTGTTTCCTGTGGTCTTCTAATCTGGTTTGAAAAAATAATTTTCTGAATTCAAAATAGAGCTGAATGACTGTTAGCTGAAGGCATTTCAAGTTAAGAAATTATTTGATATTTATATTTTTTATTTCAGACTTGGTGAGACAAGTGTTATTTTAGACAAATTCATAGAAATGAGGATAGAAAAAAGAACAATGGGAGACCCCAACTCGATATCAGATAGCAGTGATGTACAAACACCAGACAAGGAGGATAGTGCTGGGATAGAGGGAAGCTGACGTACAGAGAAATGATCAACACGTGGGATAAATAATCAAAGCATGCCAGGTACTCAATGATGAACACATGTGCTCCCTGCCCCATTCTCTACATACATGGATTCTAAATGTGGAAGTGAGGAGAATGTGATGAATTTTTACTTGCCTTTTCTGAAGTGCCATGTTTTATATGTGCATTAAATGCATAGCGTTATATATTTGGAGGAGTTCCTTTCCGAGTCAGATTATGTAAAATATGTAAAACATAATTGCTTCTTCACAATCATATAGACTGTATAGATATGACAACTATCTGTTATAGTGAAGAAACATTTGTTGGATGCCATAGTGTAAAATCAGGGATTTTCTTGTGATCTCTTTTTAATTAGGTCACTGAGTAAACTCAGGTGACCTATTGCTATCTGTTTTCGTCCATCGTTGTGCGTCGTTCGTCGTGTGTTAACATTTGAACATTTTCAGCTTCTTCTCTGCAACCACTCAACCAATTTCAACCAAATTTGCCATAAAGCATCTATGGATGAAGGGGAACAAAAAGTATGATTTTCATGGTCCCTGCCCCCCTGGGGCCTGAGGGATGGGGCCAAAACCACTAAAATTAGTGCAATATTTAAAAATCTTCTTCTTTACTCCTGGACATCAAGCAGTCAAACTGTTAGCATGAATGTAATGACCATTGAGTCCTCTACCAAAATTGTGAAATTCATGGCCCCAGGGTCAGGGGTTCTAGTGCTAGGGTGGGGCTATATTGATTATATAGTGAAAATGCATTATTTCTTTAAAAATCTTCTTCTCTGCTCCTGGGTATTAAATAAACTAACTAAGTACATAGTTATGATGAGGAAGAATGCCTTTTGCAAAATTGTGAATTTTATGGCCCCAGGGTCAGGGGTTCTGGTGTTAGGGCGGGGCTCTATTGATTATATAGTGAAAATACATTAATTCTTTGAAAATCTTCTTCTCTGCTACTGAGTATAAAATAAACTAACTAGTAAGTATGTAGTTATGATGAGCAAGAATGCCTCTTCCAAAATTGTGAATTTTTATGGCCCCAGGGTTAGGGGTTCTGGTGATAGGGCGGGGCTCTATTGATTATATAGTGAAAATAGATTATTTCTGTAAAAATCTTCTTCTCTGTTCCTGGGTATTAAATAAACTAAGTACATAGTTATGATGTGGAAGAATACCTTTGTGAATTTTATGACCCCAGGGTCAGGGATTCTGGTGTTAGGGCGGGGCTCTATTGATTATATATTGAAAATAGATTATTTCTTTAAAAATCTTCTTCTCTGTTCCTGGGTATTAAAGAAACTAAGTACATAGTTATGATGTGGAAGAATACCTTTGTGATTTTTATGACCCCAGGGTCAGGGACCGGTTCTGTTGTTAGGGCGGGGCTCTATTGGTTATATAGAAAATGCAGAAATTGTTTGAAAATCTTCTTCTCTGCTCCTGGGTATTAAGCAGATGAACTACCTATATAGCTATGATGAGCAAGGGCCATTCTTCCTGAATTGTGAATTTCAACGCCCCTGGGTCAGGGGTACCATAGAGGGGGGGGGGTCTACTTATATACTGGAAATGAATTGATTGATTGAAATCTTCTCCTTTGTATTAATCAAATATTTTTGATAAGCAAGGGTGCCTTTTCCAAAATAGTGAAATGTGTGGACCAAGGGGTTCATGTGTGGTAGGGGCACTTTACTGATTATTGCTGAATATTACTGATTAGTTGAAATGCATTTTTTTGTTCCCCTACCCTGCCTATGGGTATTAAGTAACCAAACTAAACATGCTAAGTGTATAGTTATGATTAGCAATGGTGCCTCTTTCAAAATTGTGAATGCCATGACATCTAGTTTAAAACATGAACCAAAGTCAATCGTTGTAAAGTTGTTGCATGATGCTCAGGTCACCAATAAGGCCCATGGGCCTCTTGTAATTTTATAAAAAAAAATGTTTTAGAAGAAAAATAATAAACATTTAACAAAGGCACATTGTATTATTTTAGTTTATTAAAAGATAAATAATAACAAGTAAAATTTATATAAAGCTTTAAAAGCTCTCAACAAAACACCTACATGTATCTTCATATAAAATTTGCTTCATATAAGTAAATTTTTTCATAAAACTATTGCTATTGAAATAAAACTTAAATGATGAAAATGCTAAGTACAATGTAGCACCAGGATTCAGGATTTCTGTTTGTAATGTGTAATATCACAGTCCATACTGTCTGTATTGAGTCTCCATTCATCACTGCGTCACGTGTGATTGTGGACCACGAGCCTCAGAGTCTCCAGCTGGACAATAAGTCCGATCAGACAGAAGATAGCCATCACAGACAGACATAGGACGGGGTCCCTCAGGCGACTGCGCAGGTAGGAAGAGGTCATCAACATGACCACCACCTGCTTACCTATAAATACACATAGTTCATATACTGAAACATTCACAGACAGTTTATTTTGGTAAAAGTTATCTATTTACAGGGCCAATATTTTATCACAATGATAAATTTTTCACAATTTTTCACCTTTAGAGCATTATAATTGACATTAAGTAGTTACTATTATTGTTGGTCATTCTCTGTATGATCTTCTGTCTCTGTTTAGTGGCTACACAGTGTATTTCTTTAGCATTATCAGTTGTTACATCTAGGAAGTAATTTTGCAGTCCAAGGTATTTTTCTGCTGTTGTCTGAAACAGTGTTTCAATAATCATGCACATTCAAAATAAGTGAAAATCAAAAAGCATAGACCATGAAAATCAAAAAGCATAGACCTCTGTATTATTTCAATCTGTAAATACTCACTAATGTTGTGCACCACATAGCTTTGAGTTTCTTGACATTCCAAAAGATGAGGCGAATAGCGGTGAGATGATATACAACCATTGTGGCAAGAATGATGATGTTACAGATGTTTATAGACAGGTCCTCACAGTAACAGGCAAGCTAAAATAAAAGGTCCTCAGTAATAGTTAAGAATAAATGTAAAGGTCCTCACATTGATGGTGAAGGTTAAATATAAAAATCCTCACAGTAACAGGCAAGCTTAAAATTAAAAGTCCTCACAGTTACCAACAAACTAAACTATTAAGTTCCTCAAAGTAATGGTTGGGTAAATAAATAAATAATAGGCTTTCACAGTAACAGGTATGGTAAAATAAAGACCCTCAGAGTAACGGACCAACTAAAATACAAAAATCCTCAGTAATAATCAAGGTAAAATACAAAGATCCTCAAAGTAATTGTGAAGATTAAATATAAAGGTTCTCACAGGTACAAGCAACCCAAAATGTAATGGTCCTCACAGCAATGGACAAGCTAAAATATGAAAGTACTCTTAGAAACAGGCAAGCTAAAATATTAAAAGCCTCATGAAAACAAATAAGTTAAAATACAAAAATCCTCAATAATAGTCAAGCTAAATTATGAAGATCCTCACAGTAACAGGCATGCTAAATTACAAGTTAAAATACAAAAGTCCTCGGTAATAGTCTAGCTAAAATACAAAAATCATCAGTAATAGTCAAGCTAAAATATAAAGACCCTCACAGTAACAGGCAAGCTAAAATATGAAAGGCCTCACAATAACAGAAAAGTTAAAATACAAAAGTCCTCAGTAATAGTCTAGCTAAAATACAAAAGTCCCCAGTAATAGTCAAGCTAAAATATAAAGGCTCTCACAGTAACAGACAAGCTAAAATAGAAAGGTCCTCACAGTAGCAGGCAAGCTATAATATCAAGGTCCTCACAGTAACAGGCAAGCTAAAATATCAAGGTCCTCACATTAACAGGCAAGCTAAAAGATCAAGGTCCTCACAGTAACAGGCAAGCTAAAATATCAAGGTCCTCACAGTAACAGGCAAGCAATAATATCAAGGTCCTCACAGTAACAGGCAAGCTAAAATGTCAAGGTCCTCACAGTAACAGGCATGCTAAAATATCAAGGTCTTCACAGTAACAGGCAAGGTAAAATATCAAGGTCCTCTCAGTAACAGGCAAGCTAAAATATCAAGGTCCTCTCAGTAACAGGCAAGCTAAAATATCAAGGTCCTCACAGTAACAGGCAAGCTAAAATATCAAGGTCCTCACAGTAACAGGCAAGCTAAAATAGAAAAGTCCTCACAGTAACAGGCAAGCTAAAATAGAAAGGTCTTCACAGTAACAGGCAAGCTAAAATGGAAAGGTCCTCACAGTAACAGGCAAGCTAAAATGGAAAGGTCCTCACAGTAACAGGCAAGCTAAAATATCAAGGTCCTCACAGTAACAGGCAAGCTAAAATAGAAAGGTCCTCACAGTAACAGGCAAGCTAAAATAGAAAGGTCCTCACAGTAACAGGTAAGCTAAAATAGAAAGGTCCTCACAGTAATAGGCAAGCTAAAATGTAAGGGTCTTCACAGAAAAAGACAAGCTTAAATGTAAAGGTCTTCAAAGAAACAGGCAGGTTTAAATGTAAAGGTACTGTAATAACAATGTATGTCTTCAAAATTACATATGTTCCCAATCTTGGCCAATGTAATATCCAAACTTTAAAATAAAAATATTTATAAATAATTAGAAGCAGGCAAGTGTCAATGCAATTGCCCTTAAAGTAAAAATTATCTTTGCTGTAAGCAAGATAAAATACAAATGTCTATGGTGACAGACAAGCTTTCAACACCATTGTTTTCAAAGCACCCCCCCCCATACACACACCCTCTCACACAAACACCACCCTTCAGTTACTGTACAAATAGAAAATTGACACAGGAACAGACTATACCACAAAATGAAAGTTTTACTAATAATTATTTCATCTAATAAATTGGGTGCACAGAGAGATGTCTCCAGTATTACAAAAATACTTTTCTTATACCAAATTTAAAAAAATATTGAAAAATGCATTGTGAATAAAAATGTACCGTTTTTGATTTGAAAGCTTCAAACATCAGTACTAAAAATTAACAGTCGTAACCATTTTTATTACGCTTGTGGCCAGATATAACCCATGCATCATTGCATGTACCGGGGTACGTATATATTTGTCTTTGTTGATAAAGTTGTATCCTGTTACATTTTTACACAGCAATGATGTGCATCATTTACAAAATATTTATGAGTTCATTCTAAAATGTGATTGCTATCAATGCATTAATCACAACATTCTGAGACACAGCTTTTAAACTCGAGATGATTTTAATACACATGGTTCACAAAACACGTACACATAAGTCTAAAATTGCCAGACAGACAAGGGGAGCTTTGTTTTCAATTGGATCTTTTTCCTTCTCAAAAATATCTTATGATTTATGAAGTATCGCAAATCATATTATTTTTAAGTTTTCCTCGTAAATTGCTACTTGTCATAAGAAACGGGATCCTATTTAAAAAAAAAATAACCAAAATCAATTTTTGAACTTACAGGTATAGCGGTTATAGCGTAGATGAGCATAAAGTACCACACAAGGAGGGCTATGATATCCCCCCGGGAGTTGAACGAGCCCCCAAAGGGCAGCACTCGGTATACATTGTAACTCTCCTCTCCATTCACTTTCTTCAGAAAACTGATGTGACTCGCTAAGTAGTTGTGTGTGATGTACGGCCTGAAACAGAAATCAGTTTAATAAATGCTTCATGATAACATACCTATTTAAATTGTAACTTAATAACTGTGAATTACATTTCATTTTTTTTTTTTTGGTAAAACCAACCGAAAATTGAATTATTGTTAGTAAAATAAAAGGCAAGGAAATACATGTATATGCGAAAATATTTCGACAGTGTAAAGAATGAGTATCCATTGCTATTAGATCTTAATCCAATTTTCATATTTGCTTTTCTTGAATTATACAGACTAAACAGAAGTTTATTTGTTCTATCTATCATAAACTTCCATATGCACGTAGGCAGTCGGCAATATTTAAGGTTCAATAGACGAGAACAGAGCGTGGCTATTTAAATACATTCATTCTAATAAAAAAAAAGTTGTGAATAGAAAGGTAAATGATTCGTGTTTCTGAATTTATGGTCCAATAGCAACATTGCTGACCAGAAAGAGATATTATGTACAGCATTCCATTTATAAAGCGAGATACGAACTGAGAGAGAGTGATGGGGGGGGGTTTACCTCAACCCTCGTCATGCTTACCCCTCCCTGATGTTGTTGACCAGACCTTTGACCCTGAGTTCTAGACGATGACTCGGTCGTATCTGTTTTGTCTTCTCTTCATCCATGTTCACTTACATCATGATATTGTAGTGCTTATCATCTCTGCAAGATCGGGGTCTTGAAAAGAATGATACACTTATTCACTTAAAGTACAATTTTGTCTTTTCCTTGGAAGACTTCATAATGGTTGTTATACCCCCCGCTTGAAAAGCGGGAGGGTATATAGTAATCGTTAATTCCGTCCGTCCGTCCGTCTGTCCGTCCGTCCGTCCGTCTGTTACACTTATTAACTCCTCTCATACCACTGAATGAAATTTGATGAAACTTTCACAGAATCTTTATTACATATTTTGTGCACCTCCTATTTTACTTTTTTCACTTGGACTTTTTCACCAGTTATAACCTTCATAATGGTTGTTTTAATATACTGATGCATTTTTTTTATATACAGTCATGTAATAAAAGATTCAATGCTTGGCTAGAGAGAATTAATCTACAAGTTACTTTACACCCTTAGCCGACAGTTTGATACCCCGGTGTAGCGTGGGCAGAATTACAAAACAATTGCAATGAATGCTTTAGATATGAAATAACTTACGAAGTCCTGATTTCGGACACATTTAATTATAGATACCTAATCTCATTTACAGTTGCAATGGCACTTCCAAATTTTACGGTTCTTAAAAGAAACTTGAAAATAGCGCTTGTCATACCTGGGAATAAGGTTGGTTTAGCCACCATCTGGGTCAACAGGAATGTAACAACAAGCAAAAGGTATACATACAGCTGATTACAAGGACTTTAAAACGACAATATCCGTCCTAACTAGTCATCCGTATTATATCACCACAAGAGGCCGTGAAAACAAGATTGTATAGCAATCAATAATTGAGTAATTCTGAATGTACGCAACCACTTACGTATGTATAATAAGTATCTATTATAAGGGTGAATGAATAAGTAAGCTAAACACTCGTTTTGCCTTGTATTTGACGGTATCGACATTGAAATTTCATTGTCACGATTTCTCCGAAAATAGAAGATACGGATCTAGATTTTTTAATATTAAACCGAGGAAAAATGTACAAGTATATCAAAGGAAAACCATTTAAATCACCTGAAGCGTGGAGAACACGCAGCTCTTACCCCCCCCCCCCCCTCCTCTTTACACACACATTAAAAATGTATGTGTGGCTTGCAAAGAATACCAAAGAGATAAAATTAACAGAGAAATATCAAACTTACAGTATAGATATGGTGTTATTATGTTTTTAGTAAGAAAAAGTACGCCAAGTACGTGTGCTTTTCGGTATTTATTTTAAAGGTGCTTGGACACAGATTTGAAATAGATATTTTCTCAAATTTTCGGTTTAATGTCATGTTTGATATAACATTATGTCATGTTGATCTGAGATAGCATTTCGCACGGAAATATAAAAAACAATTTATTTTTATCTGGGAATAATTGAAACTGCGAATTTTGGAACACATTTGATTGATACACTTAATACACTCAAAATTCCATAAAACAAAACAAAATAGGAGCAGAGAAAACATGAACCTCCAAAAATTCAGAGGTGGGATCAGGTGCCATGGAGGCAGGGATGGGGTAATGGTAACGTGTAATGGTAATTGACTGTAATTAATTACAAATTTCGATGTAATTGAAAGTAATGTGTAATTGACCAAATTTTCAATTACAAGTAATGGTAATTTAATTAATTACTTTCCAAAAAGGCATGTAATTCACAATTACTTTTCAATTACATTCAATTACACTGGTTTTAAACAAACGAAAAATAGTCTCCTCTCCCTCAATTTCATAAACATTATTTATGAAAGGTTAATAACTTATATTTTGGACCAAAAATTTTAATAGTAAAATTTCTTGAAAAGAACTTCCCTTTTTATGTCAATTGTTGTTTAAATACAATGCCCCTTTTCATTAAAAAAAAAAACAAACAAACTTTTTAATCAAAAAATTCTTTGTAAAGTTTACAAATAAAATTCATATTTTAATTTTTTAATCAATATTAATCCATATGAAAATAAGAAGTCCAATGGCTTCTAATCATTTTGTTTGCCATATCTTCAGCTTGTGTTGGAAGTTATTAACAGGTGCTAATTAGTGTCTTGGGGTCATATACTTATTCCTAAATAAACATTTTTCACACCTTTGACTTTGTCTGTTGGTGTTTATATGGTGACTTTAAATTGTAGTTTGGCACAGAATAAGTCAAATACCCACATTTTGAGGTAAACCTATGATGTTGAAATAAGGAAATATAAAGGCAAATTAAAGCATCAAAAGTACATTTAGCATAAATTTATCACTTGTTTATGGGAAAGCTTAAAACTTATTCCAAAATTTAAACACATGAATTAAGGTAAAACCATCTGTAAACTTTCTACTTAGTCAGTATCTACATGTATGCATTTTTCTCACAAATACCCCAGTGGAAAGAATCTTCAGCATAACAGGAAAATCTTCAAATTAATCATATATTAGGTTAGGGGACACAGTATTTGAAAAATGTATGAAGCTTTTAATATTATTGTAAAAAAAATGTTGTAAAATAATCTATTATAAATGTAAAGGAATATACATGACTATTTACTTTTATACGTGTATTCTTGAATGTAATTTGTAATTTAATTAATTACATTTGCAAAGTAATTGTAATTCAATTAATTACATTTCAAAATCCATGTAATGGTAATGGTAATTTAATTGAAGGTTTTGGGAAAGTAATTGTAATTTAATTAATTACTTTCCGATGTAATTGACCCCATCCCTGCATGGAGGAGTGAGCATCCCCTGCCGACCGTTCACACCCGCAGTGTTTTTCAGTGTTCATCACAGCACAGACACTTGTTTCCGTAACAAATTTTGTAACAATGATAATAAAGTTGTTTTTTTTCTATCGGTTAAAAAATATATCACAGAAACAAGTGTCCGTGATTCAACAACAACCCAAAGGTCCACTGGCCACAATGCTCACCTGAGTTACTTTGGCCCTGCTATTTTTCATCTGAACACATCTGAACCTCAGGAGGTCATGATTTGAACAATAAAGAATCTACACTACCCTATGATGCTTCCCAATAAGTTACATTTCTGGCAGAGTGGTTCTTGAGGAGAAGATTTTTGAAAGATCTTTCTACATATTTCAATTTCTAACTTGGATTCCCTATTGTGCAACATCCTATCCTAGAGAGTCATTTTGTTTACAATTTAGAATCCACACTACCCAGGATGCTTCCACATAAATTTCGGCCTTTCTGGTCATATGGTTCTATATATCCCAATGTAAAACTTAGATTCCCTATAACGGCAACACCCTACCTACGAAGGTCATGATTGAGCAATTTAGAATCTACACTACCCTAGCATGCTTCCACATGTTTCATTTTTTTATGACCTAATGGTTCTTGAGAAAAAGATTTCCAAAGAATTTTTTCTATATATTTCAATGTATAACTTGCATTCCCTATTGTCACATTATACTTTCCTGAGTATTTCATAAACTCATTGTCAAATTCATTGCTTAAAGAGCAAAAGCCACTTAGGAGTTTTTTTGGCCCTGCGAATATCTGCATTAAGTTGAAGCTAGCTCTTTGACTTCAACTTAAAAGAAATTCAGCATATCAAATCTTGGCTTTTTTGAGTTTCTAACTCTTATTTAGCAAGACAACCTCTGTAACTTTTCTTTGCCTGTAAAGTGTCAAATACTGAATCAAAACTAAGTTTCTCAAATTTAATAAATATGTATAAAAATATCTGTTTAATGAAAAATAGTCAGAAGTTTTAACTAAGAATTTTGTTAATGATTACTATATTAATTTTGTTATTAATGTTTACATCTCTACAGATTCTCGACAGATGAGATGGTAGACATGAAAATGAAGTATAAATCACAGCTAGCTTGTCTATCACATTCTGATGATCTGAGCTTTAGGCTGAGTTCTGTGTCGGTAAGCATTCACAGCTTCTAAGGACTGTCTTATGACCTGAAACAGAAAGAAAATCCACAAATTAAGACACTAATACATAGAATATGTCAGACACCCCCTCCCCCCAAAATCTTCTCTTATCAACTAAATAATGGCAAAAGTAAATTATTCTTTAAGAGCATTCTTGATCAGGTGCCTGTTTTACAAAGAACTTACAAATAAGAACAAACTGTAAAATAAAATTATAAAATTTTTCAAATCAATGTAAAATAGAGTTTGAGCAGAATAAAATTTTGATCCTACCGTAATTAGGGGAGTATAATACGCACTTTTTTCCTAAAATAAATTTCTGTGAGAAAGGGATGCGTATTTTACATCACAATGGGATTTTGACAAGTTTTTCTTTCAGGTGCAGCGCGGCTATCATACGTACATACCGTAGTATTACCTAGAGACACATGCAATTTCTTTTGTTAATTGCCATATTTTAAACTTCGGAAAGTTATTGTTGGAAGGTATGCTTCTTATAAATGCCACTTTCATAATCTTTTTATGCCCAAATAACATGAAAAGGGAAGTTAAAAGTAATTTGAGCTGCATGTTGATAGTCTCCGAGGAGGCCGCCATTACCGATGTTATTTTTAGACGTTCACTCATAGCTATGTCACGTGCTTCCGGAATGAAAGTGCACATGCACCTTATCTGCCAGACAAAGTAATAAATCATTTTTTAATGAAATACAATAAAATAAATATTAATTTTAGGTTTAAAATAACTCAGTGATAATCTGCAACAATATTAACACCCCTCAATACGTCCCAATGAAAGGAAGCCAATGTTGTGACACACGTGCGCTGGTCAAATGATAATTACCTATTCAATTAATTGTCTACCGACTCCAAAGCAATGTTTTTACAGTTAGAGCACTGATTATTTACTGCCATGTTAATTGCTGTGATTATTTTCTTTGTTAAAAATTGGGGGTCGGTTTATGACCTTTCGTATGTTTGAGCATGGTGAGCATGTGTTGATTACGGCACTTAAACAATTAAACACTTGTTAAATGTAATTTTACCTTATCTTATACTTATCGGCCTCTTGTTTAAATAATTGAGAGTTGAGAAATGAAATATAAATTATGCTAAAACTTTTAATAAAAAGTGGTATCATTTAGAAAATAAGATATCCGCGAAGATTCAGAAGAGGAAAATCGTAGGCTTCTTAAAGGAATAAATACTTTGATGTTTCAATTTCGTTTCCTGATAAAATATTGTAAGATAATTTTAAGCATGATTATCTAGAACCAAAATTAAATATGACAACTGATAAAACTTTCGACAATATCTCTTGCTTTGTTAAAATAAAATTATTTCATCTAAGAATATGGCGACGCATAATTTTCAAAATCACCGTAACTATTCTTTAAAAAAAAATCTGTTAATACTTTTACGCAACATTATCTTGTGCTTTGTTGAAATAAATGAATAAATAATTTTCTCCAGATTGCCGAGATACGGAATGTCAGGATTAAGAGAAAGTTATAAAGTGTGTATTTTAAAAAAAAGTGTGTTCAGTAAATTTTTGACACCTAATCCTCGCGCCGATTTTCGTAACAAATTACCGTGATTTTCATAGTTCAGAACATCGCTTGGTAAATTTTTCTGTTGCGTATAATACATCCGAACTGCGTTTTTTCCCCCAGTTTCAGACTTTAAAAGGGGGGTGCGTATTTTACATCAATGCGTATTATACTCGGCCAAATACGGTAGTTGTAAGTTCTTTTGTAAAATTGACCCCAGTATATAAACGGATGCTGACCCTTCTTGTGTCCTGAGGCAGAACTATCCCATCATTCCACACTCTAGAGGCAGCGTAAAACGAGGAGCTCTCCATGTTTACTTTTTGTGAGATGCTTGATGTATCCAAATCTTTTATATTCTGCAAGAATAATTTTTCTATAACTAATTTTACCATTCTTTTATCAGTTTACCAATCTTTTGTGGAGAGGGAGGGGATCGAGATTAAGATTTTTGAAATGTTAAAATATTAAACTGAGTGGTCTTTACATCTCATAAGAAACAAAGACATAAACTGAATTCGTAACCTTACTTGAAAAAGTAAATATCAATTTCTAATTTGATTATCAAACTTGATATAATTCAAATAATTATATACATGTATATAAAAACAATATCTTGATAATTACAACAGCTTTAGCTTCCTCTATCAAGTCTTGTGTAAGTTTATCAGGATTCTCTACGCAGACAACAGCATTAGGCCAGCAAAACAGAAAGTTGGGACTCATACACCTGTTTGCCTGTGAAGTAAACAATCCCATGTTATTCATATGAAACGTTAAAGTCAACTTAACATACAGTGGAACATTTTTAAAAAATTTAATTTAGTCCTAATTCTGCAAAGCTTAGAAAATATCAGGCCCCAATTCTTTGCATTGGCATATAAAATATGTATTTAAAATGAAGAGCACTTGTTTTCACTTATAAATTATTTTACTCCATTTGGTAAACTGTATCACGCCCCTACCATGACAAAACTTGTTGGTCCAATGGCATTTCCAATGATGAAAGATATTACAGGAACATTGGCACAGCTAATGGCTGCTAGCATTTTGGCATGGGCCCTCAGCTGATTACCATACATTTCACCTGCATTAAAAAATATTTTTAAGGCATAGATAACCTTAGTAAACTGCTGTAATTAAAATTTACCGGGTATATTATTATTATTTTTTTTTTAAAATTTAATGTTTTGGTAATGCTACAACATATAATCAACTTCTAGCACCATGCATGTTACAAATACTTTTTTTTAATTTCACCTGAGGTTTGACTGTCTGATTTTTCCTGAGTATTCTGTAGAAATATCAGTGGTATGTCTCGTTCACAACAAAGCTGTACAAAGTGAGCTCCCTTGTCTGCAGAATGTTCAGAGAGGGAGCCATTGTTCCCCACAATTCCAACTAGACAACTAGTTAAAAAAAGTTATATTACAAATTGTGTATAAATCCTACAGATTTATCTCCCTTAACAAAAGACATCATAATTCAAAAAGAAGCCTTTTAAGTCTACTGCTTATTAAAGTTAATGAAAGAGTGCATTACCCATGAATATATCCAAATCCTGTGATTAATGAAGGACCAAACATTTTCTTAAACTCGCTAAATTTGCTTCCATCTGTGATTCTTGATATGACCTGGAAAATAACAAAATTATCTATAAATATTCAAATTTAAAAAAAAAAGCAAAATTTTGACAGCTCGAATGGAAAATTCAAACACACACCAGCAGTATTCTTTGGATAAAAAGTCTTACAAACATTGGAACTAATCTAAATAATTTTTACATTTTTGTGTTCCTCTATATTAACTTTTGGCCTATGTATTTTTTTTTTAAACATGAAAATGCAATGCAAGATCTAGTAGAATTAATGGTTACGTTTAACGACAGTCAGCAATTCTATAACAATATCTTGTTACCTGGTAAATATTTATGTTATTTTCTGGAGTGATAAGTCCTGGAATGTCATCAGCATCATACAATGGTGGTTCTGAATCAGATGTGCATGAATCATGGAAGGGGAGGGTCTCCGCAATATCTCGTCCCATCTCAAAGGCCTCAGGTTCATCCTTAGCAAAATAGTCGGTACAGCCACTCACACTGTCAAAGAACAACAACAGTGTGTTACACAGACAAAAAAGACTGTACAACCACTTACACTGTCAGAGAACAACAAAAGCATGATACACAGGCAAAAATATATATTTTTATTAAATTTGGGAAGATTTTGCTTTGATTGGATGGCTAAGAATATCAACAAAATTTAGTTTAACATTAGCTATAAAATTGACCAATCTTGTCAGAATTCAGCTGCTCATCTTTCAGGTGCCTGGACACCTAAGTGTTGAAAAAAAAAATGTTCAAATTAGAAGAATGATGATATATATCCTACTTAAAGGATCAGTGACTTGAAATTTGGCAAGTATTGAGTTAAAATGTGACTTTGTGTGAGGTACCTACAGATTACATACCTTTAAAATGATATTTCAGGTGTTTGATGAGAGAGGTCAGAGTTTATATTTATTTCTTAAATTATAGGGTTTTAAACTTCAGGGGGATAGTCCCTATGACCCGTGCACTAGTTATTCTTTCACAAGCAAAAAGGATCCAGAAAAAGAGAAAAGGCATTTTAAAATTTGTGAAAGAGATCTGTATGCAGATTTCAAAAGTAAAATCCTTCAGAATTACCTTAACTTTACCTCAAGTGTATAACCTGAGCTTCCTTTAATACCATACCTGTAGTGTAGTGTAGCCCCACCTAGCTCCTCAGCACTGATTACTTCTCCCACCTATAATACCATCCTGCAGTGTAGTGTAGCCCCTCCTAGCTTCTCAGCACTGATTACTGTAAATTATGTTTTATTCGCGAGAAGTTTATTTTTGTGTAATAAAGCGAGAAAGTGAGCTCGCGAAAATTTCTTTCTCACATATAATAGTATTGCTTGAGATTATATAGAGGCATAACAACAATTCGTGATAACTTTGTCTCGCTAATAAAGAATCAATGACTGTCTCGCGAAAATAAGGTGTCGCGAAAATTTAGTGATCTACAGTACTTCTCCAGCCTATAATACCATACCTGCAGTGTAGTGTAGCCCCTCCTAGCTCCTCAGCACTGATAACTTCACCAGCCTATAATACCATACCTGCAGTGTAGTGTAGCCCCTCCTAGCTCCTCAGCACTGATTACTTCTCCAGTAGCAGCCTTGACTAATGGGGGACCACCAAGGAAAATAGTTCCATGTTTGTGAATCATCACAGCTTCATCTGCCATTGTAGGTATGTATGCTCCCCCAGCTGTGCAATTTCCACAGACTATTGCTAACTAAATGTTACAAAATCATTTCAGTCAAGATACAAAAAACTTTAAAAGGAAATACAAACTTCAATTCAGGACATGAGCCCATGGACTAACTTGAGGTATTCCTTGTGAAGACATTACGGCTTCATTATAAAATGTTCTTCCTCCTGGTAGAAAAATCTCTGACTGGAAAATAAACAATATTTTATACTAATATTTCTTTTCCCTAGCTATTTTATTCCCAGTATCATATATTCTCTTAGTATTTTCTATCAATAAAACCTACCAAATGATTTTTTCTTTACAAATAAAATCTTGGTTTACCTGTAGAGGTAGGAATGCTCCACCTGACTCCACTACATAATAGGTAGGGAGGTGATTCTGCTCTGCTATTTCCTGTGCTCGTAATTGTTTCTTTAGAGCAACAGGATATATTGTTCCCCCTTTTACAGTAGCATCATTAGCTATGATCATGCACAATTTTCCATGGACTCTACCAATACCTAAAATATGTTAAAATTCTTATGACAAGCCTAAAAATTGAGCAGAGGTATCTTATATTTTAAATGCATTGATTTTTTTTCAGTTAGAGATTGATTTTTGTAAAACATATCAAAGCTATATATATATATATATATATATATATTTCCGACAAGTTTTTAAAAGTATAACTAACTTATAGGCAAATTTCATACCCGTTATTATTCCTGCACGAGGAACATCTCCATAAGGCATCCCAAGTCCTGCTGACAATGCCAATTCTAAAAAATCATTTACATCATCTAGAAGTAAACACAGTCTGTCTGCAACCAGCATTTTCTTTTGCTTCACAGTATGTCTTTCAACTGCTTTTTCTCCCCCTCCTGATTTTGCAAGCGCAACATGTTTAGAATAGTTTTCTAACAGCAGCTTGTATTTATTCCTGTTTCTTTCTGCATCAGCTACGTCAAGAGGGTTGTCCTCAATAATTTTGAAACTACTTTTAAACTTCTGAGAGCCGCTTAATGTTGTTACAGAAGCTCTGTGTGTCGACTCCAGTGTCACACTAAGAAAATATCTTTTTACAAATTTCAAATGAGAAACACGGATGGGCTTAAGCATTTTGAAACTGATATTTTCCTAATTTTACATTCCTAGGATCCTGACAGCGAGTCCTAATGGCCTATGCAGTGTACTCACAGCGAAAATATTAGTGGGGGTTGGACTTTGGTGTACTTTCACTTTGTCAATTTTAATAGATACGTCGAACTGAGTATGTATTGTTTTTTACCTACTTAAAAAATAATTTCATAACAAATATTTGAACAGCAAATAAATCTGAAAATTTGAAAATATTCCTAATATCTTAGCGTGTTCCTTTCTGCCTGGCATTTTCTGACTTAGAAATATTATATGAACGACTTGTTTAAAACGCGCACTGGGTGCAGTCATTGAAACGCTTCAAAATACGATGTATTTCCATCATTATGTTATAATGTTGTTTGACATCGAATAAGTGCAAAAGAAAATTTTACAAAAAAAGCAAAAAAGATAGTAAGTAAATATCTACAAGCATGCTTTATGTATGTGCGTTATTGCTTTATATTTTGGTTGCAAATAGTAACAGTTTGTTATACTCCAGCATGCTAGAGGTTCACGGCGAGATACTTTTGACTTGGCGTATCCGAGGTATATAAGGAGCGAAGGGACGTTAACCGAGGCTCTTACTTGTAGGAGTACAGTTTGTTAGTGCTGTGTTTGATAATTTATTTGTTGTAATTCGTGTAACTGTTTTGACGATTAGATCTATGATGTTGGATGTACTTTCATGAAAGTGAATATATTTTATGATATGCTCTTGTAGCTTAATAGATAGATAACTGTCGCATTCATTATTAGAATTAAAAAGATCGTTGTGACCGTAGGGGCAGTTATGTACTATCAATAACATATATATAGCTTAACTATCTGTCCTCCGATCATAAGAAAACAAAACAATGAAAAGAAATCACTTTGCATTGGGATTGAGAATCTGAATTTCTTGGAGGTTTCTGACAAAATCGGAAATACATGAGCCATTTAAATGACGAAAGTATGACGTCAAATAAAAAGTACAGTAATCTTATGAAGCCAACTATAGTTTTGCATTGTCTCAAGCCACAGTCTGAAGTCCGCATATAGCTCTCTCCTTCCCGTGGCTGCTAGATCACAAGAAGTGTTGTAATCTTGAATATTTATGCCTCTATATTGTGAAGTCAAGTTCAGCCAATGACATAACTTGTTTCCATCGCAATTGAAATCAATAATTGACATCAACTTTGTGTAAGAAATATTTTGTATACTGCGATTGGATTTTGAAAGGTCACGACAAAGTTCATTATCTGACTATGCTTTTGGTCAATATTTTAATGAGCTACAAGAAATTCAGTTCTCAAGAAACCATGGCCAGAATGGGAGAGGATCATACATTTTGGCAGTAGTTTGAGACAATGATAGTTTTGTGGCATGGAGATTGCATTAAATCATTTTTAATTTTTTTTTTTCATGTAAGTTGTTGCTATGTTAACTAATGTAGTGTAAAATTTACTTTTAGAGATAACATGGCAGCAGGAATGGATGTCCGAGATATTTTGGAATTAGAAGGCCCAGAACAACAATTTATCACAAAAGATGCTTTGATGAATGACAAAAAGGTACACATATATAACTTTAATTTACGTGAAACTTCGTGAAAAATAAAGGTAGAAAATATTTAAATATATTTGCTTGCTCATATTTAAATACTGTCTTCCAACTATTTTGAATGTTACCTTAGCCAAAAAGTATGTGTGCATTTATGTTTTATTTAGTAGAACCAGCAAATCTATTTTATTTTTTGATTTTGGTTACAATAGCAAAATTTAAAATTTAATTTGACCTTAATGTGATACTTTGTTAATTTCTTTTTGAATTGAATAATATTCTTTGGTTAAAATTGTATGTATTCTTGTTACAGAAAAAGGTAACTAGGAAATCTGACCTGTCATTCAAGCGACCAGAGGGCATGCACAGGGAGCTATGGGGACTTCTCTGGACAGATAACAAGTATGTCAAAGACTTGTTGCAGTTGTTCTTTAATCTTATTAGAATTTCATGATGTCAAAACATTTGAAAGTTCTTTAGTTTGTTATGGGGAGTACAAGTAATTTATATTGCAACATAATTTTCTGCAAAAGTTTAATTTTATCATGGGTATATTAAATAAAGTAATGATTTTAATGTATGGTGTGCATATAACATTTTTTGAAAAGGGAATGGAAATTTTGCTGAATTTTTAAATGAAAATAAAACAGGTTAGGGGTCCAAAACAATTGGACACCTTTTATTTCTAACTTCTCTCTAAACGGATTTAATCTTATTTTTACATATACTCACAACAAAATTTTTGTTCAAGCCAGCACAAAAACATTTTTATACAATGCCTTTGATTAATGGAATATTTCAGAGATGCACCTCCGATCATACCAACTGATACAAACCAGGGCTATAAGCAGATGAAGGCCAAAATAGGTAGCAGTAAAGTACGACCATGGAAATGGATGCCTTTTACAAACCCAGCAAGAAAGGTTGGCTACAAGTTTTCTTACTTCCCCTGATTTTAACACTTAATGGTTTTCTAATTTAAGAGAAAAAAAATTGGCACAGTGCATTGAAAGAAACACGCACGCTAACTCTCGATTCCCGCCTACATTTTGAAACCATTTAATTCAATATATAGCAATTTGGCCTATATTTAACAAATTAACAAAAATTGTGTTAGAGGTTGTTTTCTGTGGCTTGCAACAAATACATTTAGATTCTTGGATATGATTAAATGTTCCTTATATCTTTTCTTATGTTTTATAAATCATAAATATTTTAAAATATAATGTTTCAGTTGTATTTGTTTGAAATTGGTGGAAAATAAATTTGTACAGTTTTTTTGAATATCAATTATAACCGTGTCACACAGCTTTGGTATGAGGATTTGTGAAATACTATTCCATATTACCTGTAAATCACTTTTTATTTTCCGTTTTCCATTGATTTCTATAGTGAAAAACACAAGTTTTACCAAAATTTTACAGTTATCTCTCTTTGTTTACCCAAATAAGTAATGTTTCATGAAAATCCAGATAATTATCTACCAAAAAATTTTAAAAATTCATCGAATATGTTAACTTTTGAAAATTGACTTGGAGGTAAGATTATATAGAGTTGTATATATTTAACAAATTAACAAAAACAATTCGTGAAAATTTTGATTCTGGGAGCTAATAAAGAGTCAATGACTGAATATCAATTATAACCAACACCCACTTTGAAGGAGAGTTAAGTGATCTACAGTATTTGTGTCTGTGTATCTGTCTGTAACAACGCAGTTGTGATAAGGCTGTCTGAAGGCTTAAAATGCCTTAAAAATATACATTTTATTTTGAGCTAGATTTTAATTTCAATATGTGATCCCTGTTTGAAATTGCAGTCAACTTGAGATAATAGTTTAATCAGGTATTATAATAAAGAATTTCTGTAATGTCACATGACTGTGTTGATCACGTGACGGACATTTATGATATTCTTAAATGTTGCACAAAAATCTTTCAGCACAAGTGCAAAACATAATTATTGTGCAAAGTTTGTTACATAGATCAATTCATCGTGATCTCTGGTACATAAAAAGTGCTAGGGGCAGGTTTCATTTTTACTTCTTAAGAAAATATTTTATGAGAAATTCAACTTACCAACATAAGAAAGGGTACTTTCCACCCTTTATCGTGATTTATACAAAAATGGGTAAACTACATACGATCCCCCAGCCAAATTCATTCAGAGGACATACTTCTCTTTTAGATTCATGCAGAATATCTTCAATTTATCCTTGTCTTTCAATTATGCCAGTCAAATATAAACACGATTCATAAATTCTAACCCTGTCTATGGATGTGTAAGGTGAGCGTTTCACATATAATTTTTCACTCTTGTTTGAATATGTGCATATTGGACAAGCGAGAGGAAAAGGGATATCTATATTTCAAATGTTCAACATCATAACAGCACATGTAGCATAAAAACAATCCCAGCACTTGAATTAATCAACACCCCCAAATCTACATGTCATGTGTAACAAGTGACACTTTTCCCATCATGTAGCTCAAGTATGCAGTGACTTGACATCATATTCTATTATGACATCATATCTAGATAGTTCAGAGAAGTTACTACAGTTTAAACAGTTTGATATTTTACGGACAGCCTTATCCTAGCCGCGAAATTTTCTTCACAGTTTTCTCAGCAACTACTAAATGCAAATGCTTGAAATTTTAGCACTCTTTATTCAGGTGTGCCAGTTGATGGGATTCATTGAGATTCACATCAGAGTGGGTCAGTGGGGGTACATCAGAGTGGGGGTACATCAGAGTGGGGGTACATGTATTACTAGAAAGCATTGACTCACAGACTTCTTGATGTATCTATTTGGTCCTGTTTAAGACAGCTGTATCAATGTTTAAATGTTTCATCATTTTAGGATGGTGCAGTATTTTATCACTGGAGAAGACTTGCAGATGAAGGAAAAGATTACCCATTTGCAAGATTTAACAAGGTTTGATAATAAATTTAGTGAAATTTATTAACATCATGTGGATAAACTAGGAAAATTTCCAATTGTTTGACAGAAAAGGAAAGGGAATATTTATATTCAACCATAAAATGTGTTGTTTTATATTTATCAGTCATTTTTGTACTGTACATTCATGTATACCCATTATTCATTAAGGCCCCTCTCGGCTGGCGTCCTATAGTGATTAGTCTGTCCGTCCATCCATCTAGCTGTCCTTCCGTCCGTCTCTCCGTCCGATATCTCTTGTCCGGAGCATATTTTCTCTCTCCTTTGCCCCAATCTGGCTCATACTTTACACAGAGTGCCTTTGAGTAAAGGGTGTGCAGTGACTTTGAACCACGTTTCTAGGTCTAAGGATAAGGTCTAGCAGAATTATATGAAAAATCCTTGTCCGGATCATATCCTCTCTCCCCTTCGTCCAGTATGGCTCAGACTTCACGCACAGAGTGCCACTGGTCATTGTAGGTGCAGTGAGCTTGAACAAAGTTTCTAAGTCAGGGTAAAAAAAATAGCCTCTCTGTTTAAATTCTTGTCTGGAGCATATTTTCTCTCTACTAGGCACAATCTGGCTCATACTTCACCCACAGAGAGCCTTTGGGTAAAGGGTGTGTAGTGGCCTTGAACCATGTTTATAGGTCTAAGATTAAGGTCATAGCAGAATTATATGAAAAATTTTTGTCCAGATCATATCTTCTCTCCCCTTGGTGCAATGTGGCTCATACTTCACTCACAGAATGCCACTGATCATTGTAGGTGCAGTGACCTTGAACAAAGTTTCTATGTCAAGGGTTAGTGTCAAAAATAGCATCTCTGTGTAAAATCTGTGTTCGATGCATAAATTCTTTCCCTTAATTCCTGTCAGCCTCAAAATTTACCAACTGACTTAGGGTATGGAACATTTGTGATCCTTCCATATTTAGATAGAGGATATGCAACAATTTTCATAGAGGATATGCAACATTCATGATTTTTGTGCCATTTTTTGATAGAGGATATAGAGCAGTACACAAATGTTCCTCTTCAAAATAAACCCTTCCAGCTACCTTACATTTTCATGTTCGTTGTTGAAAGCGGGGTCCTTTGAGATGGCCACCATCTCAATGATATCTAGCTGTAAATCTTTAACACATGCTTTATGCATATACGTTTTGTATCAGTAATTATCCTTTTTACAGGCAGTTGACATACCAGTGTACTCAGATCTGGAGTATCAGCAACATCTCCATGACGACAACTGGACCAGACAGGAAACGGACTTCCTGTTTGATCTGTGTAAACGATTCGACTTACGTTTTATTGTAATTCATGATCGGTGGGACAGGGACAAATTCCCAAACAGAAGTGTGGAGGACATCAAAGAGAGATACTATAGTATCTGTAACACTCTAACAAAAGTAAGGATGTTAGGAGATCAACATCATGTATGCCTATGTTAAATACATATTTCTTATTACAGTTAACCTGTTAGACTTGTGCTAACATCCTGATTTTGGATGTTCTTATGTTCATCGCCGAAATTATGATTCAATTCCATATTATTGTTGGAATATCAAATTATTTCTAACAGCAGGGATGAAAAGATATATATTTTTACAGTGTGAACTTTATATTCTGTATGGAATTTTAAAAAAAGAAGATTCATAAAAGTACATTGAAATATATTCTCCATTTACAGGTCAGGGCACCACAAGGTTCTGAACCCAAAATCCGAGCTTTTGATGCAGAGCATGAAAGAAAAAGAAAACAGCAGCTGGTGAAGCTATTCGACAGAACTCCTGAACAGGTCTGTGCCACTACTGAGTTAGAGAGTTATTGTGGTAATTCAGTATGATATTGTAACAGGAAAGGAGAAAATGTATGGCTAGAGAGTCACTAGTCAGGTGCTCTACGTATTGAGCTATCCAGGCCGATATCCACGGTATGATGGCAGGATTGCAAAACAAGTCTGTAACACCAAAGGTGCTCATCCAGGCCGATATCCACGGCCCAAACCATTACAATATTAAACAAGTCCACCAAAGTGCTCATGCTACATATAAACACATCAATTAAAATGCACATTGTTTGTGAACGATGTTTGTGTTGACAAAATATGAAATAAAATTGTCAGGTGGAAGAGGAAGAGCATTTAATTGCTGAGCTGAAGAAGATTGAACTGAGGAAAAAAGAGCGAGAAAAGAAAACACAAGATCTGCAGAAACTGATCACAGCAGCCGACAGTAACTTTGATAGCAGACGGTCAGAGAAAAAACAGACCAAGAAAAAGATACACCTGCCTCATCAGAAGATAAATCCAACAGTGGTGAGATTATCATAAACAGGAAGGAAAATTTGTTCATAAGATTGAAATCGGTTCATTGTATTGTTACGCCTGACATCAATTGTATGAAATTAGTTCAAATGTTCCACAAACAAACTTGTATGAAATATACAAAATTTGATATAAACATATTATATTAAGATTAGCAAATGCAACTTTTACGATGAAAATCATATGTAGTGATTACAGGCAGATAACAGTAATACATTAAAGTACAAGTATGTAGAGGAGAACAATTGAAGTTGCTAATTATTATTTCACATTTTAGGCCACACCAGAACCAAGTGGAATTAAATTCGCTGACTTTAAGACATCTGGAGTGTCTTTACGAAGTCAACGGGTAAGATAGATATGTCCTTATTATGTGTTCTGATGTTTGGGCTAATGCTTTAGATGTGTGAATTTCTTCTCCAATATGTCTTAACTTTGTAAAAAGGTACTGCAGAGAAGTTTGAATAAGATCTTTTTTCTTCACCACTAACCACTCAACCAGGTTAATTTTTAAATACAATGTATCAAGTTTGTATTAGAATGTTGAGAATTAGATCTGTCTTTCATTTGCAGATGAAATTACCAGCATCAATTGGACAGAAGAAAATGAAAGCTATTGAACAAGTTCTGGAAGAACTTGGCATAGGTAATACAATGTACTTTCCTCACTTGAATAACCACATTTAATAGAAGAAAACTATTATAGAGAAATAATTCTGAAACAAAATATAACACAACTGCTATTTTAGGTACATTGGTGCAGACTTTGATATCCAAGCTTTCTTTTATAGAATACAACCCAATTCCAACAGAGGACACAGTCACACATTTCAATGAACTTCGACAAGATATTGTTTTACTTTATGAACTGAAAATCGCCCTTGCAACATGTGATTATGAATTAGAGTCTTTAAAACACAGATATGAAAAACTGGCACCTGGAAAGGTATGATATTCTTTAATTTTTAGACTCATGTGAGATTTGAGGGCATTCTTTACACGAAAACTCAGTTTCAAAGAAAATATTCAAGGTGTTTTTACTAAATTCATACATATACTAATTTGTGAGAGATAAACAATTGATGTTAGAATAGATCATTAAGCCCCAATTTTACCATACGATAATCCCCTTTCCTAAAAAATGCATCACCACACTTATTTGACATGTTAGGCCTATTGACCTCTTGTTTGAAATTGAAGTGTGAAGAGTTTATCATTAAACTTGTGTTTTTAGCCTCTTCCTATTGAGACGACAATTAAAACGGAGCCAGAATCCTCGATGTTAGGGGGAGAAACCTCCTCCTCTCTCGTCAACTTCAGCATCTCCCCCGACTCCCCATCCAAACTAAAAAAGCTGTCTGAGGCTATAGATGTTGTCAGTACAAATCCCCCAGGAACACCAAATGTAAGAAAATCTTCACTTTTCTTTTTGAATGTTCTTTTGAATGCACACATTGAATTTTTTTGGCACTTTTTCATATTTTCTCTAAGTTTCAAGCACCATAAATTTCTTCTGCTAATTTTTATCAGACATAATTAATTGATTTCATGTAGACGTTTCCCCCCTTAATTTACATGGTACCATGTTATTTGTAGAGAAAACGTAAAGCAGCATTAGAGCAAGGCAATATGCTGAAGAAAATGAAACAGAAAGTGTGAACTTAAAACTTACCCCAACAGTGACAGTGTTAGCAACAAGCAAGACACTATGACTGCAGACTACTTGTATATACAGTTGTCTCATTAAAGTGGATAAAGAGCTACCTGCTGAAAATTCCATGTACAACACCAAAAATGCAGCTTGGGACAAAAGTTCATACAACTCTTTTTTTTGTGAAAGTGATTGTGAAATGTTAACAGTGAGTCAGTGACAAGAATGACATCATCAGTCAGTTTTTGGTCTTTAAGTATGTGTACTTACTGGTGGAGTTTGTTTCAAATATTTGTTAGGAGAGCGTTGAAGAAAGAATAAATCATACATAACAAAAGGCAGAACTCTTAAGATGTGTTTACTTATCAACTTATTTCAACAAGTCACAAATAAGTTTGATATAAAGCATTTTAGTGAATAATTTAATAATATCACAGTATTCTGACACCATGTTAAAATAATATGTGCATAATTTTTATTGAATAGATAAAAAAGAATCCCTAACACAGTTAAAAAATATAGCAACATGCATCACCAGTTATACTAAAATATTCACTATAAATGCACACTACACATATACCCATTATAACCTATAATGTTTGAGATCTATAGTTCATTAAAAATATTTATGGAACTAACATTTCATCTGAATGTACCCTATTAATATTTATTTGTTAAATACCCAACTGTATATCACTCAACTTTACTGTAAATTTTAATCATGTGAAGGCGTGATCCGACTTACTGGATCACCACACTGTTGTTTTCTGAATCCATATCACCAATATCTGACAGTACACATTATATGATGTGACTTTTTTTTTCCATTGCCTATCACAAAGTTCCTTGAAAATGCTTTGTTTGCTTGGTTTAAAGCTGCAAATCTATAGCTTGCTGGTCTGAAAAAATTGTATGACCAGAGAATTACAGTGCCACCCATAGAAAAAAAACTGAAAATTTATTATGCACAGAAAGTTGTGCTTGATTTTGGTTTAATTTCTCCAAATTCTTACTTCAACTGAAACATTTTTCAAGGAGCCATTTGATATGCAAGAGAAAAAACATCATGTACACCTATACAGTGAACTAATTCATCAGTTTCAGAGAGTGGTGATATATAGAAAACCACGGTGTGAGGATTCAGAAAGTCTGATCAAGACATCATGTGATTGTACAAAATATACAGTAAAATTGAGTGATGTACACATGGGTATAAAATAAATGTTACAAATAAACAGTGGGAGAAATACCACATAAACACAAAATGCATGTCCATATGACTTTGAGGGTTAAACACCCATATAATTATTTTGTGAAAAGACAAGATACAATAATATGTCAGGTAAAATTCAAAGGTCATAATATTTTGCAATCTACTCATGTACCAGATTAAAGTCAATAAATAAAAATAAATACACATAATAATAAATATTAAAGCTCTTAACAGTATATGGAATGAAATAAAATATGCACTGGAAAGTTTGTACAGTATAACAGCATTTCCTATAATATTGGTCAACATTTAAAATTGATGCATTCTAGCTGAAAAAAAAATAAGTAAAGCACTGGTGAGAATTCTTGTTGCACTCTTGATCCCTCTGGAAAAGCAGATTAATCTTGCATGGTTTTGCAAATAGTCCTTCTGTTTATTGCCATTTTGTTCCATTTCACTTCACATTTCCTTCCTCATAAAGTTTGTACACCAACTAAAATATAAATGATAGTTTTTTTGAAAATCATATCAAATAGGTACATGTACATTTTAAATTGATATAGATCACTGCTGTAAAATCAGCTAGACATGCTAAGGTTTATCCAGTACCTAAGGTAACTGATATAAATCTATGTGTCCAGAAACTTACATTTTTGAATTTTGTGGCCAGTCCATCTACAAACTGCTCTGCAGTTTTCCCCTGAGGAACCATGGACTCGAGGGGTTTTCCTGGTTTCTCCCTGGAATATTTTTCCTCCCATTCAGGGGGTATGTAGTCAGTGTTCACCTCAAGCTAAATAGAAAGAAATACCAACTTTCAAGGATTCAACAAGTTTAAAATTCATAGTCTACGAATATGATTGATTAGAAAGTGTCAAGAATGACTTATCCGAAAAGAATCATTATGCATAAGGATAGACAAAACTTTCCTCTTAAAAGATGAATGAGGATGACAAAATATGAATATACAGCGAAAATGATTTAATAACACACATAGCCTTACAAAATGATCCATAACTCACCAGTTTATTTCCAGGAATATCCCCAGCCAGCTCATCATCTCGCCTTGCATCAGCCAAACGGACATACACAGACGCCCCTTCAATTAAATGGAGCTGTGTCAAAAACAAAAATTCCAACTGTGATTATATCCATGACATTTTGAATGCAAAAAACTCAAAAAACATGTATTTTAACCATTATTTTCAAGGTATTCCTACATATGAATAAATCTGAAACAGTAATTATATTTTGCACTCCCCTGGAAAGTAATGCCGATTCATTAAATATGATTAACCTGGTTGCTACAGTAATTGCAACAATAAACACATGAACTAGTCACTTACTGTTCCACTGCGGATGTTCCTCTCCATCCAGTCTTTACACGGCTCCCTGGCCAGCTGTTTGAGCAGCTGAGGGGTGGGGGAGCCATCAAACAGGGGGAGCTGAAAGGTGGACGTGTAGCAATAGTTGTCTGTAAACACCTGAAGTGGGGTCCAGGCCTGCAAGAAAAAGGTCAAGGGTAAGTCTCAAACAATACATATACAGTGGAAAGTCACGCTTTGGTTCTTTGTCAATTTGTCAGGATATGTCAAGGGTAAGATATCTGAATTACAATAATACAAGACAATGGGATGTCAAAAATTACATGTAAATAATCCAGGTATTTGATATGTATATATACATATTGGCAAAGAAAAAATTATATATTTTGTTTTAAAATTTTATCATTTGTATATCTTTATATAGTGCATTTAAAGGACAGAAAAGCTAAAAATGGCTGTCACCCCCTAGCCGCTTAAAAAATCAAGTGAAAACATGTACATGGCTAAATGATTTTCATATATAAACAAGAAAAAATACAAATGGAAATGCATTAAATATGATTACTTGTATTGATAATTTTATTGATATATACATATATACTGTAAATGCATTACATATTATTAAATGCATTTAATAGTATATTACCAGCATATGAATGATGTGTGTATGTGATTAAAGATAAAACAGTAGAACCTGTTCCAGTAGTCCATATTTGTAGTTTTCCTTGGCGACCGTGACCTGGACTTCCTGGAGATGGATGATGACAGTCAGGAAGCGATGGTAGGATCTGTTGGGGAAATGCTGTAATACAAGGGTGTACAGGTAAAATAAAATTTTTAAAATTATTAGAATCTGAGTTTTGGAAAACAATTCCGAATTTTGCAGAATTACCTTAAATCCATCTCTCCACTGTGGAGATGTGTTGGTGGATTTTAGATCCAGAAACTCTGTGAACATCAATTTGTCATATGTAGCATGTGGAGCGCCCTGAAGAAAAGACACAGTATAGTAATTTCCAACACATTGTTACAACTTACACTATTGTAATTTTTGAAAATTCTAGTAGGAATTCAATGTATGCTACTACCATGTAAAATGCCCCCGGTGGATTTAAACAGATGTGAGCATGTGTGAAGTGAGTCCAGGGTAAGTTTGTAGCACCATCAACAGCAACCTACAATAAATGTCAAGAAAAACATTTTGAAACCTGCATTTACATCAAGAAAATTCTCAAGATGTAAAAAATTTGCAAAGAAACATGCTTGATAATAATATAAAAATCCAAACCTTAATCCCCTGTTTAGCACTGTATTGACTTATGAAGGTTAAATCTATATCCAAAGGCTTGTTGTCTCCCTTGGTTAGTTTATTCTGAAAATGGTCATGAAAAAAATGTAATGAATATACTGTAAACCAACTTTTATTCGCGACGAGTTTATTTCGCGATTTACTGTGTGTAAACTAGTTCGGGACGATTAATTTTCGCGATCAAGTCGTTTTTGGAACTGTTTAAATAGAAAAAGAGACTATAAGGACCCGTTCGCGGCGAGAAATATTCGCGATGACGAAGTTGGTTTACAGTATTAAGTTTAAGTTGCTTCATTTCATAAATAATTGTTTTTAATATTTCCTAAAAATAAATTCCAAAAATGAAACAGATAAAGTATTCCTTACTCGTATGTACTCGTCCAGGTTTTTGTCGTTGCGGTAGAAGCTCTCCTTGGCCTGGGCTATCCTGGCTACAGCGTCTCGGATTTTGATGGCAGGACGCCTCATCATGGAGTGGAATAACTTGCTCTCTCCATTGGAAGGCAGGCACTTCATAGAGTAGTATATTCTGTCTGTGTACTTAGGCCTGGGCTGGTACAGGCCAAGTCTTAACCAATCAGCTTGTGGAACTTTGCTTTGCTACAGACAAAAAGATGAGTTTGTATATATTTTGTTATAAGCAATACACATGTGATATATGACAGCCCTAAGAACCATTTAGAAATTATGAGGTTTAAGTTTTATAAACTATGCCAAATACACATTACTAAGAACAGCTCTACTGGTTTGTACTTATAGCAAAGGAAGAAAAGTACTTAAGCAGTTGGAAATTGAAACTTTTCAACAGCAATAAATTGAATAATGATCCTTGATTAAGTCTCTTTATGTTCTTAGTAGGAGGAGTAGCATTTTGAAAGAATTTCACAGAAATTTCTATTTTTAGTAACAAAGGCAAAACCGTTCATCGAAATCAAAAACCGATACAAAGAATTGTGTATCTTAGTGTAGTCTACTTGTGTGCCAAGTTATAATGAAATCAAACTAAAACTGTAGGAGGAGTAGCATTTTGAAAGAATTTCACAGAAATTTCTATTTTTAGTAACCACGGCAACACCGTTCATCGAAATCAAAAACCAATACACAGAATTATGTATCTTAGTGTAGTCTACTTGTGTGCCAAAATATATTGAAATCAGACTAAAACTGTAGAAGGAGTAGCATTTTGAAAGAATTTCACACAAATTTCTATTTTTAGTAACCATGGAACACCGTTCATCGAAATCAAAAACTTACACATAGAATTATGTATCTTAGTGTAGTCTACTTGTGTGCCAAGTTATATTGAAATCAGACTAAAACTGTAGAAGGAGTAGCATTTTGAAAGAATTTCACACAAATTTCTATTTTTAGTAACCACGGCAACACCATTCATCGAAATCAAAAAACCGATACACAGAATTATGTATCTTAGTGTAGTCTACTTGCGTGCCAAGTTATATTGAAATCAGACTAAAACTGTAGAAGGAGTAGCATTTTGAAAGAATTTCACAGAAATTTCTATTTTTAGTAACCACGGCAACACCGTTCATCGAAATCAAAAACCGATACACAGAACTGTGTATCTTAGTGTAGTCTACTTGTGTGCCAAGTTATATTGAAATCAGACTAAAACTGTAGGAGGAGTAGCATTTTGAAAGAATTTCACACAAATTTCTATTTTTAGTAACAAAGGCAAAACCGTTCATCGAAATCAAAAACCGCTAAACAGAATTATGTATCTTAGTGTAGTCTACTTGTGTGCCAAGTTATATTGAAATCAGACTAAAACTGTAGGAGGAGTAGCATTTTGAAAGAATTTCACACAAATTTCTATTTTTAGTAACAAAGGCAAAACCGTTCATCGAAATCAAAAACCGCTACACAGAATTATGTATCTTAGTGTAGTCTACTTGTGTGCCAAGTTATATTGAAAGTAGACCAAAACTGTAGGAGGAGTAGCATTTTGAAAAATTGTTTACAGACGGACAGACAGACAGACGGACGGACGACGGACGCATTACTATCGCATAAGCTCTTCTGGTCTCTGACCAGTAGAGCTAAAAAATCCAGAAAACATGTATATAACACAATTTGTTTTCTTTCAAGCTTAGAGATTATGGTACATCCAATTCCTTATTTAAATGGGTCATTTAGAAGAAAAAGATGTATGATGTAATTGATTTGACAAAGAATTACTTTGAATGCATTTTAAGTTAATTTTGACATCAGCTCTGTGGTCTGTACTCACCTCTAGGGCTTTCCCTGATGGTCCTTTGGCTACTCTGGTGAGTCTCACTAGGAGGGAGGCACAGGGTACATATCTGATCCCCGAGTCCCGGAGAATGGACTCTGTGAGGGGGTCTACTCCATTAGGACCCTGACAGTACAACCTTAACTGATGGGCTCCCTCATTTAGTGACACCTGAAGCAAGTCAAAAATCTTAAATACTATAATTCAAAACTAAGACCAGAATCTTGTCACCAAATTTTTAATAGATAATATTTCATTGCATTTTTACTGTATTCCTTAGAAGACATTTTTTTTTTAGATAGATTGTTAAATGCATTGGGTAGGGTTGCAATTGGCGGGTGTTAAATAAGGTCATAGGAATAACATCAAGTAGCAGGAAGCTTGACGTTACCTGTAGCCCTGGTTTATCTATAGTAGGTTGTCTTTCTGTCCCTGATTCCACAAACACATTCAGTGTGGCATAACCAACCACTGTCAACTGTTTGTAAAAGTTGTCCACTGTGTAAACCTACAATAAGAAAATATTTTTTTAAATTAAAAATGTTAGATTTAGACAGAAACATGTTCAATGCAGTTTTTACAATTTGATACAATATTTTTCTTACCTTGAACAAGATAGTTGAAGAAGGTGGGATGTTGTTTTCCCTGAACTCTGTTTTGGTTTCGTACACCGGGTTATAGATGTCACTATCCAGTTTGACAGTAGCATTAATATCCTTTCCATGAACTTCATATTTTCTGTCCAATACTCGTGCCGCCACCTATAAAAATAAGACTTTTTTAAAATACTGCTATCATTCTGCTTAGAATAAATTGTAGCAGCTTTCAAATTTATGTATTTTTGATATTTAGATTTGTAATGACTTGTAAAGTTTCTGTGTGTTGAAAGAATTTGTTCCAATACTGACCTTTGTAAATGTGACAGAGTCTGGGAGAAATCTGCAGGCATCCACGTAAACATCAAAACCATCACCAGACAAGAAAGGATCTTTACAGGGCCGGCTCCTCTCACATGGGAGCCAGGAGTACTCTGGTAGAACCTCCTCTCCATCCTCCGACAGGTCACTGGGGGTCAGGGAGCCTGGGCGGGGATTCCCCTGGAAGATGTGGACTCTGAGGGTACTCTTCCCATACCTCCTCCAGTCATTGTTCCCTGGGATCTCATCCATTGGGATCCGACTGGGATCAGGAACTGGGGGTAAGTACAGCTTCAGGGTGTGTGTACCAATGTTTATCTGCATTGTTTTGGGATTGAAATTCCTTCTACCCCTTACACTGAGATCTGTTAAAGAAAAAAAAGTTTTCAATCTATTACAGTAAAACTCAGTTATAATATGAAGTCACTGGGACCTGTGAAATTACTTGGCTATATCCGTAATTCGTTAAATCTGTATAAGGAATTTGTTAAAGAGCAAGAGCCATCTTATGCATAAAATGGCCTTATATCAATTAATTAACTATCACCCTCTTTCCATTTTCATATATCAAAATAAAGTAGACATTTGGTGCTTTCATGTTCTATAATGAAATTTTGTTTTGAGAATCCAAATATTTGTAAACAGCCTTTGAGAAATTGCAATGTTCTTGAAATTTGCAGAAAATATGCGTATTTGTTATATCTGTAAAGAATTAAAATATAAATTTATGTTTTTTATAGAAATAGACCTTTCATTATGTATTGGCATATTTTATATGCTCTATATGAAATATTGAAAAAACGCTTCAACTTTAGGTCATTTTCAAAGGAATTTGTTATTTTATACGTCATAATGTATTGACTATAGATGTGAAATTACGTCACAGTTAATAGATACGTGGTCACCAACAGTCCAAGTCATAAATACTGCATTTGCAACCTAAACTGAGCGGTTTTGAATTTTCAGAAATTCTCAGGGCCAAATAAAGCCCAAAGTGGCTCTACCTCTTTATATAGATAACTTCACTATATCCATGAATTCGCAACATCCATGTTATTACTAAATGAGTTTTACTGTTACGGTACCAACTTCCAAGAAAGAACAATTGTTTATACATTGAATTTAGTAAAGAATTAAAAACTATATACCCCTGGAACTTTATGCGACTAGAGGAGAATATGTATTTTATTTTAAATTTTTGCATGGAAGAGCCTAGTTTGCTTACTTTCCGTGCAAAGAACCAGAGGAATGGCTGACCAAGCAGCCAAAGTTTCCTCATCATATAGTGTGGCTTCATTTGTAGGGTCTGCTGCAAAATCTGACAAGTCTGTCTGTCTCTTCCTTAGGTAGAAGCGTGCAATAAGAACCATATCACCTTGCATATCTACATCATTAAATGTGGCTTCCTGTTGGCCAAAAACATGGTAGCCATGTTTGAAATTTGATTTGACTGCAGTTGTGCTGCAGGTTACAGGACTAATGGAGGACTGTACAATCTGAAATTAAACAAAAAAATCTTAGTATATGTCTACTATAATAAAAAATTAGATAAATGAGAAAAGCAAGAGAAAAAAATATTTAAGCTGTGTTCATTTAGAAATCAAATAGTAGTATTTCTGAGCATTCTAATTGCAGTACTTGTAATGAAATCATAATTTTTTTTCCCTAGAGACTGACCTTTCCAGTGGAGGCATAGTACGCCGTTAAGCGGACTTTTCCCTCCCCGTTTTCCGCGTGTTTGACGCGATCAACCTGGAATCCGATTGTTGTATCCTGTGGCTGGACCTTGCCAGGCTGGATACTGGGTAAGCGCTGTTCTTGGCGGCTAAAAGTGCAAAAGACAAAATATTTATTTTCCATGTTCTTTTAAGTTGAAGGAAATTTTTTGGCACAGGTAATCTTAAAGGGAATAAGGAATCAGAAGTAATAAATAGAGAAGAGCTTGTTATTTACATAAAAGAAACTTGAAATGAAATACATGTAGTAAAATTTACAAGTTTGAGAAAGACCTTTCTTTTAATTCCACAAGTCTAGAATCTAGCTTAAATTACTACCTAAATTAGAAAAGCAAAGCATTTTTTAATGTTAAAATCTCATTCATAGATTACAACATTACTCTATCTAACAAAGTACTATTTCAAGCAAATACATGCATATAATCTTGATTCACCTCATATTGGTTGAATTTTATTTAATATTTTTAATACACTGTACATACACTGACTACTAGAGAAAAAACTGTTTTAATTAAAAGTCAATTATAATTTAAAAAGAAATGCACAATATAAATGAAAAGAAATCAATAGTATTAATGTGTTATTTTATACATTTTTTTTTACACTTCATGAATCACTTCATACACTTTAAACATTAAATGTCAATAATATTTTTAATACTTTTTAACATACTTAATGTTTATATCACTGTTTAATGAAGAACACAGTTAAACAAATGTAAATAATATACAGAACATACACAGACCAGTTAGCTTGTTACTAAGTAGATACAGAAAAGCGTCAAGTGTACAAGCGTTCCACACGATACCTAGAGCGCTCAGATTCAGGGACCTCTGAGTCGGGGTGTTCAGACTGAGCATGCTCAGAGGGAGGTGTGGGAAGTACAGGGCGTGCAATGGGGGGTACCACAGGTACTGCAGCAGGAGGGGTGGGGACGGGGGTATGATATGTTGTATCATAGTGAACTGGGTCAGGGCTTCTGAAAATATTTCAGTATAATTAAATAAAAAAACATTGAATTTCTTTGCACTATGGCAATACTTGTTTTAAGTACAAATTAAAGCTATAAATACAGAATACAAATCACAAATTAATTGTTCATTCTGCATGCATGCAATTGCTGTCTAATAAATGTAATATAAATGGTACATGTAGTAATATTCTGTATTTTAAGGGCATTAGGTCCTATAAACTATTCCATTACCCTTCTTCTGCCACAGTAGACAGTGGGGGGTCATACTGATAATTTGAGGTAGTCGGAAAGTTGTGAGAATATCCTACAGTCTTTTTGGGTGGTGGGTTTTTGGCTCTAAAACTGAAATAGTGATATTTAACAGACTTTTTTGTTATTTCATCAGAATCATTTGTTGAGATCAAGTACAGTATTTGAGGTTTTAAAATTTTCTGTTACCTTGGGTAATGATCAAAAGAATCATCTGTGCTGTTAGGGAATATTTTAAATTGAACCTTGCGAAAACTGAAAGGCAATCAATCATAAGATCTTTATGTATTGTACCTTAGTAGTTTAGGAATTGCTTCTATCAAAACACTTATTTGTCTATGACTATATTCATGCATCTGAGTGCTAATGTACCTTGACCTCAAGGGAACGGGGGGAGAGGGGTGTCTTTGGAAGGGAGAATTTGGGGTGGGGTTGTACCACTCTGCTGAACGATTATTGGGGGAACTGAAAACATGGAAATATTTCAAAATATGCATGCAGAACAAAACTCTAAATAATATGTAACAAGAAAACAACAACTGTTTGTAATATTAATTAGCACTGCCATTGCATCCATCATTACCTGGACTGCCTGGACTCGGGGGGAGAGAATCTTGCTGGCGGGGGTGAGGTGGGAGGGAGAGGTTTGTGCAGGGAGCCAGGAACATGACTATGAAAGCTGGAAAATCAGGTCATTATAGAAAAAGAAAAAAGCTAGAAGAAATACAAGTGCTATTAGAAATACAGAAAGTAATTGAAAAAAAGTGCTAGTAATAAAAAAGTATAACTACATATCCCTCAAAAAATAAAGTGCTCATTTGATCAAATGTTAGTACTTGTGTGATAAGAATAAAAGAAGTTTTTTCACTTGTGGGGAAAATGACACAAACATATTAGGAATTTTTTTTATTCACTCAAAGAAAGACTTTCCACAATAGTTTAACAGAGATTTGAGGATCAATAGTACATTTATGTGAGAGAGAGATACACAAAATACTGTATTCCTGTATACCTCTCTTTTTGATGACTGGGCAAATATCTACATTAAAGAATTTCTGAATAATGGATTTCTCAACTTTCTAATTTCAAAGTATGAAAGAGATAGTGTTTATATTACAGCATATAAAAGCTATAGTGAAAAATTTATAATCCATCAAGATGGCATTTCTATATCTTCTTTATCTTTTAGTGTCAAATAAAGAATTCAATCCTAAAATCAAATTCACACAGCTGTTATGATGCCCCTCCTAAATCATTGCCTATCTTATAAAAATATTATAATACTTTGAGTAAATTTATCTAATAGGAAAACAATGCCTAACAAACTAAGATAAAGAGGGAAAAAGGTGGGTATTACCTTCCTAGCCCTGTGGATGCAGTGGGAGGGGCGCGAGGTGAGAAAGGTTTCAGCGGGGACATCTGAAAACAAGAACTTGTCACATCATTCTATACTTTACTACAAGTCAAACAACAGGTGCTAAGCTATAAAGAAAAAGTTAATAAGTGACTTATGGTTAAAAAATGGGCTGCATATACATGTAAACAAAGCAATTTGAAATGATTAAAGCTACGGTAAAAATCTCTAAACAAAACAGAGCAGCTATGGACAGTGGTAAGACTTACCACGGGAGGGCGGTACTGATTGTAGTTGGCCGCTGATATATTGACCAATGACTGGACCTCCATGTCCCTCATATTGACCACTCGGTAGTAAAGCTCGGCATCCTGGAACTGATTATAAGACATTCTTCTCAGTTTAAAACAAAAGTAAATAGAATTTACAAATAAAGCAAGAGGGTTGTTCATACTCAGGTAAAGAGAAACAGATAAAGCAACTTTCAATGAGGTTGGTAAAAGAACCAAAAATTCCTTTGAACCAGAAGTCTCTGTTGAGACTGAAGCTCTACTGGTTTGTACTTATAGCAAAAGAAGAGAAAAGTACTTAGGCAGTTGGGAATTGAAACTTTTCAACAGCAATTAATAGAAAAATGATCCTTGATTAAGTCTCTTTATGTTTTAGTGTAGTCTACTTGCATGCCACATTACATTATAATCAGACTAAAACTGTATTTGGAGTAGCATTTTGAGAGTATTAAACAGAAATTTCTATTTTTAGTAACCGTGGCAACACCGTTCATTAAAGTGAAAAACTATACACATAATTATGTACCTTAGTGTAGTCTACTTGTGTGCCAAGTTATATTGAAATCAGACCAAAACTGTAGGAGGTGTACCATTTTGAAATAATTTCACAGAAATTTCTATTTTTAGTATTGCACAGCAACAGTTGTTTGAAATCAAAAACCGATACACAGAATTATGTATCTTAGTGTAGTCTACTTGTGTGCCAAGTTACATTGAAATCAGACCAAAACTGTAGGAGGAGTAGCATTTTGGCCCAGAATTTCACAGAAATTTCTATTTTTAGAAGCACGTCAACACAGTTCATCGAAATCAAAAACTGATAAATAGATTTATGGAAAGTATGTTCTACTTGTGTGCCAAGTTATATTGAAATCAGACCAAAACTGTAATATATAGCATTTTCAGAATTTCACAAAAATTTCTATTTTTAGTAACCACTGCAACCCCGTTCATCGAAATCAAAAACCGATACACAGAATTATGTATCTTAGTGTAGTCTACTTGTTTGCCAAGTTATATTGAAATCAGACCAAAACTGTAGGAGGTGTAGCATTTTAAAAGAATTTCATAAAAATTTCTATTTTTAGTAACCATGGCAACACCGTTCATCGAAATCAAAATTCGATACACAGAATTATGAATCCTTGTGTAGTCTACTTGTGTGCTAAGTTATATTGAAATCAGATTAAAACTGTAGGAGGAGTAGCATTTTGAAAGAATTTCACAGAAATTTCTATTTTTAGTAACCACGACAACACCGTTCATGTAAATGTGTAAAAACCGATACACAGAATTATGTATCACAGTGTAGTCTACTTGTGTGCCAAGTTATATTGAAATCAGACCAAAACTGTAGGAGGAGTAGCATTTTGAAAGAATTTCACAGAAATTTCTATTTTTAGTAACCACGGCAACACCGTTCATCGAAGTCAAAAACCGATATACAGAATTATGTATCTTGTGTAGTCTACTTGTGTGCCAAGTTATATTGAAATCAGACCAAAACTGTAGGAGAATGTGTTTTGAAAGAATTTCACAGAAATTTCTATTTTTAATGGTAACCACGGCAACACCGTTCTTCGAAATCAAAAACCGATACACAGAATTATGTATCTTAGTGTAGTCTACTTGTGTGCCAAGTTATATTGAAATCAAATTAAAAACTGTAGGATATAGCATTTTGAAAAATTGTTTAGAGACGGATAGAAGACAGCTAGACAGACAGATGACAGACGGATTAATTTTCTTACTATAACTTAAGTTTTATTTTTGGTCACATTTTAGAGCTAAAAATTGAAATGAAGAAGTCATTTACAACCTTGTCTATGTTTTGTAGTTGACTAGGATGAAGATAGGGTTTAATGGGAACATTTCTGAAGGGAATGCGGAATTTTCCAGCAAGAAGCTGCCCTTTACTGTCGAAGAGAGGAAGTTTAGTCCAAGCTCTCGTAATTAGACTGTGTTTGTCATAATCTGATCCAGGTCCCCCAGATGTTTGTAGCTCCACCACAATTCCAAGGTCTGAATCTGCTGGACACCTTGAAACAAAAGTTATAGATTCAATAATTGATCAAAAGTAGAATTCAAATAAATTAATATGAATTATGAAAATGCATATTTTGATTAGTATTGTTAATCAGATTTATGCATCACTGTCAAAAGCATGCCTTACTTTGGCACAGGCTGTCTGGCTCCTATGATTGCATTAGAATTGTTTGACATGTAGGCTCTGCCTCGAGTAACAGGCTCAGTGTAAACTGTGGGCATCAATGTGGGCTCGCCCATTTGTGCTGACACTCCATGTAGGCCCACAATTAACCTACAGGCAGTCACTCTGGGATCAAGGTTCAGAACTAGGTCATAGAAAATCACAAACCCAGCACTAAAAGGAAAGAATGTCACTATTATAGAGATGAGAATAAAATTTGTAATATATAAATTTTCATTATTGAAAAAAATTAACTCACCTGCTTTACTTTCAGCAAGTTGATTCATATGATACATGTATATCACATTTAAAATATGTGAGACTTCTTGAACTATGTATTTCTAAATACATATTGATTATATAATCCAAGAACCTCAAATTTATGAATGTTTTTATTTTTTACATTTGTACAGTAATCATATGATGAAACATGGAAAAACTCATCACAATTGAAACAAAGTAATCTCTCTCGCTCTTTCATGATTCACTGAAGAAGGAACATAAATACTGGTATATCTTAAACAACTATTTAAAAAAACAAATTCCAAAATAGTTTCACAAATTCAATTCACAACGATTTCACAGTCTGTTATGTCTTTAGATGTAAATGTGTAAGGTTGACTTGCGTAACAGCCTTCAGTACACAGGGGGTGAGAATTCTACCATGGTTGGGACGCAGGCACGTGAACCACGTAGGTCCTATATGAGGAAAGGAGAACTAGTTTATAGACAGGTAACCCTGATCATCCCGAGCACGGAAGTGGCCTCACTAGTCCCATTAGAGAAATTTGTCAGTTTGTTACAGAAATACAAACTGATGAAGAACTGATACAGAACAAGAAGTTTCAACAAAGAATGTGTGGTTAATCGATAGAGATTTGAGAATTTTTGTTTTCTTAATGGCAAAAGTAAGGCTACTTCAAGCAAATTTATAAAGATCAATGTGTTCTTTAAAGTTTAAGCTTTAATTATTATCTACATTTTGTGAAATCTAAAATTTAATCAATTAAAAAATAATATTTCAATATGTAAAATTTTATTTACTGATAGAATAATGCATGGTTTATGAAATCATTAATTTTCTTCTATAACTTAAGTTTTATTTTTTACACATTTTAAATTGTTAGTCAATGCATAATAATTCATTAACTGCTATATACATCACATCTATAAAATGTCAGGTGCTAGGAAGAAAAGAAGGGGAGACAAATCTCTACAAAATGTAAAATCTACTTAAGTAAAAAAAGCTTCAAACGAATCTCTACAAAATGTAAAAACTACTGAAGAAAATAAAGCTTCATTTGAAATTGATTAAAGTAAACATTAAATTTTTATTCATGCAGTTTATTTTGGACATATTTACATTATCTAGGTGCACAAATAATTGTTTTGTTGCTTTTAAGTGCAGAACGTCTTTATGGGTTGTTCACCTTCTATAAGGGGTTAGTTAACACTAAGTTTGAGCCCCCGAATCTTCATCAAAAGGATTGCCTCGATATTCATCATGTGGTTTGTGGCTTTGTGTTGCGACCCAAGAATGAAAAGCTGTGGGCAAGCGTTCCTTATCAAACCGGTTGGGGCTGTAAGGAATGGTCAGAATTGGTCAATTTTTAAAATCTGGAATATCATAACTTCTCTTATGTTTAAGCATGACTTGCGGGATAAAATAAAAGCAAGTTCAAAAGGATGTTTACAGGTGTTGACACACATTCAGAAAAGGAAAGTTGCATTACATGATTGTTCCAGTAGTTTTAAGAATTAATGAACACCATTATTTTTTCCATCCAAGTCAGTTGTTGCCAATTTTTGTTTTATTCGACTTTTGTAAGAACAATGTAATGCTCATAAGATCATAAGCAGTATATAATTTCAAACAGTAATAGCAAAAATACAAAGAGCCAGTTACCCAAGGTTTATCAAACATTAAGAGTGCATGCATGTTGGGACTGGATGTTGAGAATGAGGCAGTTAAACTTCTGGTTAAATACAGTGAGTATATTTCTACTTTAATATAATGTTTTTTCTAAACATTTTTTAATAACTAAAAAAAGTCAAACAATAAGCACAAAGTGAAGAATAGTCAGGTATTGTGCTGTTTCAGTGCAGTAGCTAATGTTGACAGACCTATACATCTTGCAAGAATCAGTCGGGCAGGTCAATGTTTGGGTCTGGGCGGGCTGTGGGTGGTGGTAATCGGGTGCTTATATCACCGTTGTAGTAATGCTGGGTGCTAACCCACGTGTGATGGTTGGTAGGAATATAACGGTTAGGACTGTAAAAGCAGGAGTTATTGTTCTTTATACAACCATTTCAGAGTTGAATGTTTTGTGGTTGCATAATGTGTACATTAAATATGCTCAAGGAAACATAAAAAAAAGTGTTGTAAACATCCCATTAAATCCATGCTTTAACCCAAAGCTTAAAACCTTCTGTAATAGCTAAGTGCTAAGTCTAACTTTCCTGCATGCAGTCATATGAAGTTTATTTTATTGGCTGAATCCCATCATATTTGAGTCCGAGAATCACTTTACTTGGAAAGTGAGTGTATGAATAGAATTTGGTGCTTAAGTATTAGAACTGATTTAGATTATAACTGAATTGTGGCTGAAAGTCTCTAGATTTTGCTTTTTGTAAAAGTAAGTGGAAGCCACCTCATAAAACGTCAACATACATCAGGTATATGTACAACTTAAAATCTTTCACTGAAGTTGAGAGAACAAAATTTAATTAAGATTTAACAAAGAATTGGTCTTCCTGTTATATTTATAATTTCAGTGGGATTCTTGCAAGATAAGGAGGAGCCCTAATAATGGTCTAAAGAATGCCTCTTATGCCTATAACCCTATATGTACATGTATTTGAGTTCTAAGCAAGATTGTTTGTCTGTGAAATGTACATGTACATACTTTTATACTCATAAAATTTACTTCAGTGATAATAATTTTCCAAAAAGACATCAAAATTGTAATTAAAATCCCAATCGATTTCAGCAAATCTTGCAGAACAAATGGGAATGGAGCTGGAAAATTTTTAATGGAATATAATACCCATTTTTTTGAATGAGAGTTATCTCTCTTACCAGAGGGTCAATGCACCTTAAACTTAACAGCTTCATTAAATAAGAAAAGAAACCTACATAGGCCTAATTATTTTTAATAGAAAATTTACGTTTAATCATGAAGTGACTCATATAAGAAGTGATAAAATTTATATGTTTTAATGGTAGCTAGGCACTGAATGTTAGATTTTGCTTATAAAATATTAGGTTATAAAAGAGCATCACAATTGCAAATTTTATAGGCATTTAGTATTAGAGCTCCTTTAGCTTAATGTGATGGTGAATTTAAATATAAAATATCTATAATTTTACACAATGTAAAGATTGCCTAATGATGTAAGTCTGTGACTTTAATTAAGCATAACTGATAAGGCTAAAATGTTGCCCATTTCACATCCATATAAGTCCTCACCCCGTGTGTACTGATTTGCACCCTCATGCCAGAGTAAAGGTGGAATTAAGGCTCTTGGGGGTTTGAATGACCAGGGAGGGATAGAGGGGGATCCCATCACGAGAACTCCAAACCACACTAGCAAAGAACACCAGAGTATCAATCACATTGTGAACTTTGTGGATTTACACTTTGACCTATAACCTTTAACCTACCCATTTTCACTATGATAGTGGTGACTGGAACATTATGACCAGTTTATGATTAATGCTTGACATGGCAGTATGTTCAAGAGTACAGCATATTCAGCATAGAAATATTATTCATTTACCTAATGTTTAATTTTTACAATGATATTGTTCTTAAAATAAATTTCACTCCAATATCGTACATGGTTTAGGCAGCAAACACTGAATTAAGATAAGGTTGCTAAATGTGATCAAATACAAACCTGATTTTTATATGTATTAGGTAAAAGAAAGGCAGTATACTTACTACTGGTCATATGGGGCCATGGGTTCCACTTCTACGTAGGGTCTCTGCAAGAGCCAGGGTGTATCAGCATTGGTCTGTCAATGTGGACAGGGGACAGAAGCTGGTTATTACAATCTTGGTTCATTTATATATGTCCCATATACCTACACAGAATTTGCACCACCATACCAAAGCAATTAATCAAACTTGTTGATTTTAAAAACACATGAAAATGCATTCAGATGCATGAAAGAATGGATAGAATCCAATTTCGTATTTTGAGCAACTGAGGTGCAAATTTTGTGAACACCGCATACGAAGACACCAATTAGTAACACACATCAAAAATTTATAAAAATATTTTAAAAGTGCACTAAAGCTACATGTAATATGTGACATTAAATGTATCATTAGTTATAATACACGTATAAGCAAGCATCTAAAAACACTCTAGTGGTCAAATCAAATAAATTAGTAGATTTTAAGGAATAAAAGAACCAAGATGCATAATCGGGGAGGAATTTAAAAACTGAACTTTGCATGATAGTATGCTGCATTTAAATAATCAAAATAAATAACTTAGGGGGGAAAATGGGAGATAGGGGAGATAAGCAGTATCTAATCTGATTTTAACAATTTTAAATAAATTAAAATTAATTCATATAATTTCAATCTTTTCAATTTAACTTTTTTAAAATACTTTCTATAGATTATTATACATTTAATTATTCACTTGGATATTGTTTAACATTTTAAATATAATGTATGAGGGAATGATGATATATTTGTTACTCACGGGGGGAGGGGGTAGAACCTGCCGCTGGGTGATCTCTACAGGGGGCCGGTTCTTAAGGAGGTTTATCTCGTTCTGAAGCTCATACATTTTCCTTAACTGGTCCTCTCTCAGCTGACGAAGCTGTCGCTCTAGTTCCTCTGGAAAATAAGAAAACGGTGAATACATCAGAAATTCTCAGTTGAATTGCAATAAACAAAGAAGACAGTGTGTAATATAATACCTTTAAAGATGTGTTTTATATATGACATAAAATAATTCCCTTGAAAACATTAAAAGAAGGTTTTTTAACGTACATGTGTATTCTGAAGAAAAGCAAACTAAATGTTTTACTTTGTGTTTTGCTCTTGATGTATAGATGTTTAAGAGATAGAATCTCACAGAAAAAGGGACATCAGACATTCATTCTGAGACAGCATAACTCTATCTATAAGTATAAACTAGCAAAATTATTTGTTCCATAGTCCTGGATCAGAATTTCAATTCTTTTTAAAAGTGGTCTCAACAAGTACATTTCAATGTTAAGCATATACCTATTGCTCAGTTTTACTGTTTTGGTCAGGTGATATATGCAAATCTGTATTCTTTGAGATAAGAATTTAAAAAAAATTGTTTTGCACAATGTGTAGGTTTAATATGAATTGAGGAAAAAAATTGATCAATTCAAATCAAGTGTTTTCAAAGTTCTTGTTTTTTTTAACTTAGTGTTAAACATGTATGGTTCTCTTCATTGTAAATCCAATGAGCAATGACAATTAATTCTTACTGAGCTAACTTGTCAAAACTTGTTCAATATTTTATTAAATTCGGTTGGAAAAATTTCAAATGGAAGGAAACATGCATATATATAAATGTGTCAATATATTTTCTTTACATCATTCAAATTCAGATGAAGACATTAATTGTTATTGACAACATTTAAACTGGTCCCTTGCAGTTTTTTTCATGATGTACATTCACCCTCCCCTTGAAGTGTTTGGTGTTCCACATGATTACACCTGTTTATTTAGTTAGTTTAGAGTCATTGCACTCTAGTGAATTCTCATTCAATGATTCTTATTCATTACTTTCTGACATGTCTTGTTGGATAACAAATATTGCCAGTAAATATTTAAAATACTTCAGCTTAAATAAGAAGACAAATGGAGAACAAAAAAAAATAGTTAGATATGAAATATTTTATTTAAACAAAATATTAAATAAATAACAAAAATAAATTCTAACAAAAAGTCAGTGAGAAAAATTCATAACAATTACAATGTGATAAAATATGTATCGTAAAGCTTGAGTAAAAAGTATGTACTTTAAAGTATTAGAAATAAAGACAAAATATTAAGAAATGAAGCTACCAATGCACTGTCATAATGTTGTTGGACCTCACCTCCCTAGAAAATTTTGCATCATTAACAAATCTTTTATAACTATCGCATAAAAACAAATCAATTTATTTTTGCAACATTTCTTTTTCTGTAATCTCATAATCAAATAAATATTGAAGGTAGAACTCTCATTAAATGCTCTGTTGATATAAGTCTGCTTCTATTGTACATTTAGTATCACCTATGGAACACATCTAATTTTGTAAAATTTCTTTTCAAGTCAATTCTAATAACCTTTACATATATGCATTGGTTCAAATGAACTCAGACACTAAGTGAAAGGACCATACAAAATCAATTTTATTTGTCAAATATTTTGTTTCAAAGGCCTACGAGACTGGTAAAAGATTAAAAAAAATAATTCAAAAGTTACCCCAAAAATTTAACATTAAAGAAAATTCTTTTCTCAGAGCATGTCTGGCAAAACTCCAAAATTTAACAACCCCATGTAAGCAGGCCATGTATTTTCCTTTCAGCCTGGACTTATGAATTCCAATTCAAAATAAAAGTGATGCTATGTATTAAGTACCAGTATGGTACCAGGTATATTATTGCTGCAGTGAGACACTTTTAACTCTGAATCTGCCTGGATGAAAATCATTGGCTGCCCCTTACTTATTATAAGCATCTAATTCTACATTCAAGTATATTAATTAATGTGATGTTTTAAAATAATGATTTTCAATTGAATGATCTAATCACTTGAGTTCAGTCAAAATGTATCACTATCGTTGTACAGTATGTTCAAACTAATCCATAATGCATCAAATATGGATACTTTCCAAAGTAACATCCAAATTAGTATACCACACTTTTTTCCCTTTTTAACTATTGATATTCAGACTTTAGCCTTCTCTTTGATTTTTTCCTGTTTATAAGTCACTGTTGAGATAAAGTTTTGTGTCTGTGGATTCATTTCCTCTCTCTGTTGTAGAGATATTGTTTCGAATTTACGATCGGCGGGAATGTTATACATTGTCCTTGTGTTATATGTTGTGACGTTTCTATCCCGCCCTGGAAATGAAACACCTTTGGAATCTTTGGTTTGTCTGAACAGTTCATACAGGTCATTTTCTGATAGACCCTTTTGCATGTGGAATTTCTGTCCTCTTCTAGGCTCGATGGCACCATCTAAGATTTCTGTCCGTACTGACTTGTGGCTCCCACTTTGATTCCGTGGTCTTGGGTTATATAGAGACATTGTTTCATTGTGGGGATAATCACGACCATATTTTCTGTCATATGCCCTTGTGAAATTAGGATTTAAATCCAATTTAGAAAGATTTGTAGATTTGGAAAATGATGGCTTTGAAGTTTGTTCCATCCACCGAGGTTGGGGCCTTTGTTGTTCCTTCCTAACTGAGTCCCAACTATCGGTAATCCCTCGCAGATCAAGAGGAGGTACCGGTGGTTTTGCGTGTGTGGAGTACTTCACTGGTTTATCGGGTAACTCCAGTCTCTTATCCCTGTATTTCCTCTTGGCTTCTCTTTCATCTCTGAGATAGGTATGTGGCGAATTCTTATGAAACATTGCATTTCCTACTGTTTCATACTTTTGAACAAATTGTTCGAGTTTATCATGCTCCCGATGACCAGCATCATGCTGATTAAAGGAATGGTAACGTTTAAGATTCCTACCTTCTCGCTCAGTTTTCTTTCTTTCACGTGCTAAAATGTTCTGTTCTTGTAAAAGCATCAGCTCCCTGTGCAGCCGTTCATTCTCCAACTCCAACTGTGTGATCTGAGTCGTGTCTTTCTTCTCTGTTAAAAGGAAAAAAATTGCTTTAATTTCAGCAATTCAAAGACAACAAATGTAATATTCAATATATGCAAACCGTCCATTACTGTCAAAACTTAAGTAGAAATGTTAGGATACCTCGGTGTCTGTTATCGTATCCAGCTCTTTTCATTTGGTCCTCGATGTTCTGGGCCTCGGCCTGCATCTGCGCCATCTGTTGGAGAATGTCGGGGTCGTTACCACCGTTCTGTAGGTATGCCTGTCGTATGGCACTGGCAAATAAAAACAAATGCAATCTCAATTTGTTTTAAAGCATTGTTTTCTTTTTTTACTTATCTGCACAGAGTTAACACCTGTGGAGTTTTCTGTACAATAGCATGGCTGACTGATATTACTTATACACTTCAGTGAAGTCACTGCAATAGAATATGCAGGTCTATTAAAATCTTCAATGTTTTTTATTTGCGAGATATGTAACGGAACAATAAAACTGATTGAATTGATATCTATTGATCAATCTCCATTTCCTCTTTAAGTAAAATCACCATAGTTACTTTTATGGAAGTGTAAAAGCTGGATATGTTATAATTCCTCCATTAAAGTTAAGTGGATTACTCTGTCTTTATTAAAAGATTCCTAAAATTTATTGAGCTTCACTCTTGATTTCTTTTCCATAGAATGACATGAATAAAGATTGCTAGCATTAATACACCACATCTATTTTATTTCTATAATGACAATAATCATAGCCCAATTCAAATATTCTGAAGTTCCACATACAGTTTTCATGTGTGTATAAAGAAATGAATAATTCAATAGGAACAAATTCAATTCATTGAATCAATTCAATACTCTAAAATAAAATCATGAATCTGATTGATTATCAATCTAACTGTTTCTACATCTTTTGATAGAAAAGCAACAAGACCAATATTCATTAATTTTTTTCAGTCTCCTTTTTATTTTTCTGTACCTTATCTCTGCTACCATTGAGTTGCCATAGTAAATGGGGTAAACATATGACTTCCGTCCTGTTTCTGGTTGTGGGGGTGGGAGAGGAGGAGGGAGGGGGTGTCCTTTATCCACCTCTCTAAATTTAGAAAAATAAATGTTGTTTCACAGAAATAATACATGACATTTCAATCGCAGGGAAATAAAATAAAAACATATTTTAAAAAAAAATAATGTCTTGTAAATGTCTTGAATAAAATATATTGTGCCCATCTTTCATTAAAACAATTAATATAGATATTAATGTACATACATGACATTTTTAGCACATTTGTCATAGTTACTAAAAGTTTAATTAGAATTTATACAAAACATATTTACAATTAATTTTTATTTCCAAGGGATTAAAGAGCAAGGTATGATTTCAATACAAATCTTGCCTAGTGATTTTCTTAAAAATGAAACTTAAAAGATAAAAATTCATGTTTTCTGAATCATTGAAATTCCATGCAGAAAAATCCTACAAATTATTTTTCACACATGCATTTATAAATGCTAATTGTGATGTCATAAACATGTGCATTTTCCTGTATTTTCTTAAAAAGTGGCAGAAGACTCCAACTTTCAATAGAATTTTCTTTCAGACAAGTATGACCACAGGCATCGCCCATAAAGATTTTCAGATACATGTATGTAAATTTTCATTGAATTTTGAATCCAAAAAGTAAAGTGAGCGACGGCTGTGGACACTATTTTCTGAAGGAAAATTACCCTTGAAATGAGTCATTTTCAGGCTTTTTCTGTGTGAAGTAGAATAATGCATCAAATTAATGACGTCATTTTTCCAGAGTGGTACTCCTTTATGCCATATTCTTCTATGATCTTTCACAGTCATTAACTAGACTAATATTTAAGCCAATTTCAAATTTTTTGAAAGCATTGAATTTTTTTTAGGGCACGATAAAGCTAAAACCATACCTTCTTCTTTTCAGTTTTCGAAGTTGAGATTGGGAAACAAATATGACATAATTGAAATGAACAAAATAATACATCAAATTCTACAAATTCTACAAAAAAGATTCAGTGGAATAGAACATCCAAACTAACACTAATAAATCAATGCATCTCAACAAAATCTTTTTCCTGAAAACAATACCAAACTACAAAACAACATAACAACAGTGAAATTGAAATACCCTAAATAGTGATTAATTCTATAGACCAAATCATGCAGCTGTTGACAGAGTTTATACTTTTGGTCTAGATCATTTCTATCTGAGGCTTTGTCTCCCTGGTCTATAGTGGTCACAATCTCACTCGGCGAGTGTCTAGAGATAGTGGAACTGTCTGCGAGTGTCGAGATTTTACTGAGCTGAGTTTCGGCATCCTTCTGGTCAGTCCTATGCTGAGGGGACTCACTGAGAACTTTCTCCTCCAAGGCTTCAATCAGACGGTTTGTATAGTCTATATTCTCCCTCAGCAAGTCTATCTTTCTGTCAGTTATTTGTGACTTATAGTTTTGTTTGACTTTTTTGGTATCTTATGGAGGAATTTTTATAATTTATTGTGATGTTTCTTTTCAACACATCAACTAAAGATAACATGAATTACACACTAGTAATCAGAAACAGTTTGTCTAAGATATATTTCTAGTAAATCTGCTGACAATAAATAATTATCACCTGAATCTCTTGCCTTCTTTAAATTATTAAAACGACTTTTTTCAGTGATATATAGCACGTACATTAACATTATTTCTCAGAATACATGTATGATAATCAATTACTTATCATTCTGCTGAATGATTGCCCTTTTCCCCAAAATCATGTGTTAAAAACATAAACATTTCAAAAGATAAAAAAATAGCTTTTTATAATAAAGCATGGCATTACATGACTTCAAAGCAGTTAAACGATGAAATCTTGATGGTCTAGGGCTGAATACCGATAACTCTTAAACACTGATTCTTGAAAGTAAAAATCTTTTCTCTGGCCCAAGAAACCAATTATCTTATATTGTAGATCTATATTCACACTGTATAATATAAAACCCCGGTTGTATATAAAGGACCTGGTCTGCTACTTACATGATATTGACCCTCTGGTGGTTGATATCATACAACTGTCGTTTGAGGTCCTCTAGAGCCCTCTGATTACGTTCCTCCTGTGCCCTCAACTCAGCCAACAACTGGCCTGAGTCCTCCCCACCCTTGGGCCGGCCTTTGTTTCCCAGTTCTGAAAGCCTCCGCTGTATGTCTGTAAAATCATGTCAACAGACACTCACACAATATTCAATATTTGTGAAAAGATGCATATCATTGTACATTATTACATGTACCAATGTAATCAAAAATTTAGGTACAATAATGAGCTGGGGAGATACAGAGCAAGAGAGAGAGTTATGGCTACCCTCCTTTTGCTGTAAAAAAAGCAATATAGAGATGAGATAGAGAGATGGAGAGAGAGCAAGAGAGTGAGAGTTATACCTATCCTCCTTCTTGCATTATCAAAGCTCAAGAGAGAGAGAGAGCTATGTGTACCTTCCTTCTGTTTTTCCAGATCCCTATTCCGGAGCTGTAGGTACTCCATCTGTCTCCCATGATTCTCTGCCAGCTGCTTCAGCTGAGCTTCCTGGTTTGGATTATACCTCTGATAATCCTATTTCATAAAGAGAAAAAAAATGAGGTTTGCTTCTATGTTTTGTTTCTCTGGAATTGCTTACCAGTATATCCAGTGTAGTCTTTTTCATATTTATAATAAAATAATTTGGACTCTTTGTTAAATCTTCTCTTATCAAAACCTTCATCTTAATTGATTATAAATAAATTAAAACCAACAAATTGCATAATAAAAACTTTCTCAAACTTGATTAAATATGCATTGTAAACATTTTTTTGGTTTTATCTAATTTTGTTTCCAACTTCGGTCTAATTGAAATTAAATTCCAAAAACAATTGAAATTTTATCTTTTGTTTTACCTATCTCTAGACAACCTCTTGAAATCAATTTCAAATAAATAATTCTATGTTGTACCCCACCTAGAGCTTGAAATTAATCATACCAATTCCCTATCTCATCAAAAACTAAAAGCCTGATTCTCTTACAAGAGTTAAATCCCCTTGTTATTACATATCCCAGTATTAAAAGTTATTAAGTTATTCTCCTACTGATCTAAGCCGAAACACCCAGTTAAGGAATTTTCAATTTACAAAACAAACAATTCTGATGCCTTTTCTTATTGGGGCTATCAGTGATTGTGTTTAAATACACAGTTAAGGACTATTGATTGTACCCCGGTTGCCAATCATGCACCCCCACGCAGCAGTCTGGTACAAATTTCAAGTACAAGGAAACTTCAGTCAGATTAAAGTGGCCCTCCAAAAAATTTTCTGTTGATCTTTTAATATTTTTAAAGTATAATTTGACAGCACATTGTAAATTGATGGTAAAAACATTTACTTTAACACGAATTCTGTGGAGGCCAAAGGCTGCAAAGCTTTAGAAGAAAAATAGCTTTATCAGTGTTTGATTAATATGTCTCTCTTATATGTAGGTATAAGATGATTGAGGTTCAGTTTTTGAGCAGATTTCAATTTTCTTTTTTAAAAAATTTAATTAATCACCTAGACCACAAGATGCTTAATGCAATTCTTCTATATTCAGAACATTAATACTGAAAGTTTAAAGAACAGAATATGGCTAAGAGAACAATGAACCTTCTAGATATCCATTCTCCAGTAAAAGCAAGATTGATATTAAAGAAATGAGACTAGAGTTTAGAATTTGAAAGATGACAGGTTAAAATGTCTCAAAAGTTTTCTTATACAGAGTCAGACTGATAAATATTGAAAAAAAATATGAAGTTAAGTCATGAAACCAAACAAATTTGTCAATCAATTTTGAAAGTCAAAAATCAACTGATTACAATTTAGCTTCAAACAACTCATGAACATTTTAAAATTACACATTAAATGATTATTCACATTCAAATACCAGGTACTGGAAACATAGGATTTTATGCATGTATTTTTGACACTATTGGATGGAACAGAATTTGTAGGCTCCTCAAAACAGCTTATATTTCATCAATGTATGTAGGACTGAAGAGCTGATACAGTAAAACTCGTTTAGTACAAACACGGATATAGTGAATTCACGGATATAGCGAAGTTATCTTTAATCCCAAGCTATATAAATTTAACAAATTCCGTATACGGATATAATGAATTACGGATATAGCAAAGTAATTTCATAGGTCCCAGTGACTTCGTTATAACTGAGTTTTACTGTACTAGGAATTATTTTTGTGAAATACTTCATCTTGTATACCCCTGGTTAACTCTGAAATTTATCATGAATAACAACAAACATAAATTTCCTTGTTTCCAGTACCATTAATGAAGTTCCTTGTACATGTAATGATTTGTGATTTCTACACCTGTTAAGCATTAAAGTCTACATAATCTGTAAATTTGTAGCAACCTTCAACATAGAACCAGAATTAGCTTCAAACTAGAACAATGTTACAAAGACAACCAATACCTCACAGTTGTGTGTACACTATCTTCCTGCCGTGCAAATCCAGACAAATTATTATAACATCACATTTCTATACAATAAATATTCTAAAAAAAAATTTTTAATTTGGTATTCAATGGGTACAAAACACAGAAACATAAAAATAAATGAGAACTTCTTCGAGTACATTGGGTCCCTAGCTTGGATTGAATGGCTTAAATTCCAAAAACACATCAAAAACATCCATAAAAAGCTTTTTGTCATTAATACAGTAAATGGATACATGGTCTTAGTGGATTTCTTACATCGTCTGGGAGGTGTATACTCATGCTAGAGTTGGACATGGGGGAGTAGTTATCCAGACGAGTGTCCCTCCCCACAGGGGAGGCAACCTTTCTTAGATCATGCTGTAACTTCTTTATCTGCTCTCTTTCTCTCAAGATCTCATACTGTAACAAAAACAAACAAAGAAGATTAATGAAAAAATATCCAATCAGTGATTGCAGTACGTTATAGAGAGCTAACATTTGAGCACATATACAGCTTTTTTGTCTTGCTTTTAAGCTCAACAATTAAATAAATTTAAAATTCTCTTTCTCTCCTTTTTTTCTCTTTGGTACTATTTACCTGTAATTGCAGTTGTTGCACTTCTGTGTCTTTTGACATAGGAAGCTTGCTTCTACTTCTGTAAGGTGGACCATAACATTTGACACCATCCCTATCTTCTAATGTATCCAACAGGATCCTTTCCTCTAAGTTAAGAATATCTCGACTTTTTTCTCGTTCGGCTTTCAATGCTTGGAGGTGACGTACCTTTTCAAAGTTTAGGACAATTATGCCTTTAAATGGCTCTCCCAGTGAATTACTTTTTTTAAATTTTTACCGGTAATTAATCAAGTAACTTTTAATTCAGTTACAAAGCAAGCATTTTACAATAACATCTTTGCTTTAAATTAAAATATTTCAATATTTTTTTTAATTAGGTAGAATCAATGACTTTTAGTCAAGAGAATATTGAAATTACAAAAATTTAATTTTTTTCAAGGGTCATTCAAATACTTTCAGTCAGTTTCATTTACTATTTAATGATTCCTATATGTAACCCCCCCCCCCCCCCAACCCCACCCCACCCTGAAAACCTGAAAAAGGAAACAGGAAAATATTCACACAAATTAATGTGGAAATGAAATACTGAATGACCCTTTATCAAAGAGACAACACATTGAAATCAAAAAATAAAATACAGGGTGCATTTGGCAAAGTTTTATTGCAGAATCTAAATGTACATGCATATCATTTCATCAATGGGTTTTGCGCACTGGGTTATTGCAAACCCATGCAAAGCTTTCTGGATTGCACTGCAGGGTTTTAGTTTACAAGCTAGGATTCAGCTACATTAATTCTAAAGTTAACACACTCTACATATAGCCATAACCTGAAAGTGTTGACAACTTAAACACAACATGCCAATACAACTTAAGATTGACATTCATCTAGAGTGTTGCCTCACCTTGGCTTCTAGTTTCTCCCCTCCTGACAATGGCTGTAAATAGTTTGTCATTCAAGTCATTTTGAAATACCATATTAAACATTAAATCAAACAGAATGTGATTGTTATAACTGCCTTTTTCCTTAATTAGTTATTTTGTACAAAGTTTAGCAATTTAAATTGGTTGTGTTTACTTCTTATTATCTTAGTACAATAAAATATTTTAATGTTTTTAAAAGTATACATCCTGCATAGCAGGAGTTTTTAGTGATGTGCTTATTTTAGTGGTTTGAAGTAACCCACTAAAATTTTAATTGCTACGTTTGCATCCTTGCATAAAAGTACTAAATGCAAGGAAAAATAACTTTGATCAGACTATGTTGTTAAACATTAACCCAAAGTCATATGTGTATATAATTCTGTATTTGCACACCTTATACTATAAGTTATAGCAAGTGAAAGGCCAGACTTTACACCTGCTAATGTAACCTGTCATATGGTACCATATATATGAATCACTGCTAGAATAAGCTATTTTTAATTGACATTATCTCTCCTCAATTTATAATGGCAAGAGAAAAGGTAGTATAAATCTATGTCAAAGACTTCTTTCATGATTTTGTAGATGGTAATGTGTGACACAATGTTAAACTGATCTTTAATTTTCATTTGTAATAGGTTACATGACATTCTCTATCACAATATAGATATAAATTTAATAGTTTTCAAAATGAATTTGTCATTCATAATCCATATATGTTTAACTCTTCTACTTTTGTAGGAGCAAATCTAATCCTGTCATATGATCAGGTGAACTGTATTCTCCGAGTCTGAGTTAAGATAAGATGTGAGCAATCTGTGTACCATTTTTTGGAATTTGTTGCAAGAAAATTACAAAAAATTAATATGGGCTCAGACTTTTTTGTGGATATTTTAAAATCTGAGCATAAAAAGTTCCCTTTTCCAAAAAGAAACCTGGTTTACGTTACATAAGTATTTCAATTTTTGAAAGCAATATATTGCTTTTTAAGGAATTCAGTAAAGGAAAATTTCCTGAATACTACTCACCCTCTCCTCAGGGGTATAGGGTCTGGGGGGAGGGTCATCCGCTGACCATAGTCCCTTCCGTAGTCGTAAACTGTCAGGGTCCCCGACGGACCCTCCCACACAAAACTTCTGCTTGTGCTTCTGAAGTAGATTCAGGGACCCAAAAGTCATGTGACAGTCATGGCATTTGTAGCTGCCATCTGCCATCTTAAATTTTCACCGTAGAATTTCCTTTATTAATCAACTAAATGTTAAGTAATCCATTGGCATCTTCTTAGTTTGTTAAAGTTTCACATCTGAAAAATAAAGAAAAGAGACAACCATTAAATGTCTCATCAGGTAGCAACAAGAATACAAAACTCTCCATTAAATGGCTTTCACATCCTAGCGACCTTTTAAGTCACTTTCTCAAAGCCTTAAGATGCTTCTTACCTGGGATAGTTATGAAAATGGCAGTTAAAGGTATATACCTCCTAATAACCAACCAAAAAATCAATAAGGTCAAAGAGTTCTACCACGCTTTCATGATCAAATTTGAGTCAACTTAAACCAAACTTTTTAGTACCTTGGGAAAAAATACAAATGAAATGAAGACTCATGATTTCTAAATAAAAATTCATATTTGCAATTTTTTAAATCACATCTTTTTTTCTCTATCAATTTATTTCTATATCTACTTGCATATCAAATAAAATTTATTAAGATGAATATGGAGTTTATTTTTCTTATTAATACACAGATATATAAAAAATCATTGGATGCCTGGAATCATTTACCTTGTGATATGAAGATATAATCTTTCAAATAATAGTTTCAGGGTGATTTCTCAAGATGATTACTTATGAGAGAAAAAAAATGAAAAGGGTAAGGGGTCTTATTTTCATATCCAAAATCTAGCAAGGTTTAAAGTTCTCCGACAGACTTTTATGTATGTATGTGCCAGGCGTCTCCCATAGAAATCATCCCTGTCACACACTGGAATAAAATGCTCTGTTAACACACACAAAGAACCTTAAAAATCAATCAAATCTGTATTCTTCACAGAAATAAAAACGTCTCTATTCATTATAGTCTTACACTGAGGTGCCAAAGACATTTCTTTTCTCCAGACTTCACACTGTTGAATAACATGTTTAATTTCATTGAATTTGTTCAGATATATGTAAATAAACTCTTTAATAATACAGTTGAAAGGAAGTCACATAATATTTCTACACAACGCTGCCTAAAAATTAAATTAAACCTCTGCATGTTTGAATATGTTATCAAAATTTGGCTGGCATTTTGGATTGCCAATGAGTTTAATATCAAGATTTATATATACACTGTACAACACCCTCCTTGTGAATAAATATTTTTATTTAAACTAATAGTCAGTGGCATAAAAATGATGAAAAATTATAAATACAGATCCATGTATTTAAATCTTTCATAAATGTTTAAATAAAATTTGTGTGAACAACATAAATGCCATGTACATTAATATCAAGTAGCAACATGATGTGCAACAAGATGTGTTAGTGGAACATTGACGTCCCTTTATGGCAGCCCATGGCCAAGATTCGAGCTTCTCAAATGCAAGTCAAACTCTAAGATTAATTGAGGTCAAGAGATTAAAAAAGTAAATAATTAAAGAACAGTCAAAATTCATATTATTTCTGAAATATAAAAGTTCTTTAAGAAACCAATAATAATTTATATTTGGTCAAATTTTCAAAAGCAGGTCAAACTCAACTGGTACTTCATATGAAAAGGTATTGCACAAGAAATACATCCAAAAACAAAAGATGACTGTGAAACACTTATGCCCCCCCCCCTTAGTCCAATGGGAATAACTCTGTTAAAAATTGCTCAATTGTACCCAAAACAGAATCTGGCCGAAACATTCTTATGATAAATCTGTATACTAAATTTCATTTCAGTATGTGCAACCTCTGCAAAGAAAATTGATGGAAACTGCAAATAATTGGAATTTTTTTTAGTCCAAGGGGTATAACTCTGTCAAAAATTACTTGATCATACCCAAAACAGAACCTGACCTAGATATTCTTATGATATGTCATTTTATTTCAATATGTGCAACTGCAAATAAATGTGTGTGAAATGCTTAGTGGAGTATTTTTTGTACTTGGCCATTATTTTATTTAAACAAACCAATGAGATTTGGTCAAGTACTGACTAATCCTCCTCCGTTGAGTGACATTAATCTTAGGTCATAATGCAATGAGCACTCAGTAAACTCTATTCATATTCTGAAGCATTTGAAAAGATATGTCAAATAAAGACAAGAACATGGAGTATGGTTAGATTTAAGTGAAATATCCAAGTCCACATGGAGATTTAGTTGAGAAAACGGCTTGTTCCCGGCATGTAATAAAATTTTTTATTTAAAAAATCATATACGTTAGTACTTAAACAACACAGGTATTGCTTTAGTAATACCGTATATGATTTTTTAAAAATAATTATTACACGCCGGGAGCAAGCTCCTGTGTTGTAAACCAGCGTTTCTCCCACTAGGCCCTATTCCTAAATCCACGTGGAGTGGGATGCACCAATTAAATCTAGCCACGCTCCATGTTCTTAACTTTATTCGAAAGAATACAATGAAGTGTAATTTTCTTTTATCCCTTAAAATTAGAAAGACAAGTTTGAAGAGCAAAAGAAAATTGCTTACCGTAGAATGTTTACTTTGGGCTGCGTTTGTCGTTTTAATTAGATAAGTCGTACGTATGTTATTCCATTTTAATTTCTATTCGTAGAAAATATATTAGCATACTTTCAATACACTCATGATTTTCCCCCACATTTATAATGCTACAATTTTTCATATTTAAACCCAATAAATTTTTCTTCATTTTTACTTCTTTTGATAAATGTTTCATTCTTTTTACCCCCTTTTAGTTCACCTAAGTAATTTTCTGATTTTTATAATTTTTCAAGAAAAGTTGGAACTTAATTCATATTGGACAAACAATCTTTGATATAAATTAGTGGATGCTTCCTTATATACTGTGAGTCCTTTCAGATGCAGTATAATTTCATAGATAAATTATTTTTGAAGTTAACTGATTAATTATTGTGCTTCATACGTACTTTAATATTCAGTGAATCATCATTGTACATGGGGAACCAATGTTCATGGATTTCCTGGGTCACTCTTATCAGTGAATTTACATCCCCACAAAAAGTTAAATTACTTCTTCACTGAATCTTCTGAATAGAGAAATTAATTAACCCACAAAATTATATACATTCCCAGAAACCAATAAAATTTAATTTGCTTACCCATGAACATTAGCCCCCACAAATTAAAATGATTCCACAGTATATAAAAGAAACATAGTTTCAAAATGCACAGAAAATTTATTAAAACAACTAACACAAAATGTTTACAATCTATTGCAAATGAATGGATAAAAAATCAACACAGAATTAAAATTAACATTTTGAATTTTTAATAACCATATCTTACAGAACCTTATAGTACGTACATATTTCACATGCATTTGGACTGCTGCAAAAATAAATCCCCCCCTTGAATTTCTCTCCAGATTCACAATATGTTTGCTTGGTATATATACTTAATTAAACTAGCAGTTAGGAAGCTATAGATTAATTATGAAAATGTCACAATTTAATTGAACTGGCAAGTCGATCATTAAATATAAAAATCTTGTAAGATGCATTATCCAAGCAATTCATTCTTTGCATCCAAAGATGAAACTATTTTGTCCAGGTCTGGTAAATGGTCTATTAAATAGCTAGTTTTAAGAAAAGTTATTAATTTGAAAGTCATTAAAGTATAAAATGTACAGACAGCATCCAAAGCAAAATTTAGAAATGCATGCAAGCATGCATATGTCGATAAAAGTTTGGTTTATAGGTACAAGATATCCCCAAACATTATAATTCCATTATTCCGTAAATTTTCTAGTAAAGCATGCATAAAATGTTGGGCAAATGGTGCATTGAAATCGCAAAGGCACCAGTTTAAAATATCTTAGATGCTCTAACAAATGCAAGGAAAGCAGGGCTAGAACACCATAAGATGAGACAATTTAAGCTACGTACGGTATGCATCAGGATGAACCATCAAAGCACAATAAAGTATTCTGAAGGTCTGAAGCTTTATCGATAATATGATGTTCATGCAATTATGATTAAATTTTACATGCAAAGTAGAAAACACATTATATATTAAATGATTTTTATATAAATTCACAAATTAGCACAATGAATCTGATGCCATATACAGATGAAAATCAATCACATTGTTGGTGCAAAAACTAAGTTCATGGCAAATGCAAGGGTTAATATAAATATATCATATGACATGAATGGTTAATTCTTGCACACATAAATTCACAGAGCATGGGAGCATTTTCCTATTTATGGAACCCTCAAACTAGATAAATTTTAAGAGAACCTGGCTGGCATACTGAGCGAATTCTAGAAGGGAGAACTTTTTTTAAGCATTAATTTATACCCTATGTGTATTTTAAATCAAATATGATATTAATAGGGGGGTCAAGTTCAATGTCCGTCAAGAAAAATTTCTCAATTTTATTGTCTTAAATTCCAGTGTCCAGAAAAGTTTGACTTTAACCTTTGAACTTGACCTAAAATCAATAGGAGCTTAAGTCATTTACTGCTTAGAAAGTATCCGTCTACAAAGATTGATGCACGGCAAGAAAAGGATTCTAATTTTATACCGCGCTAGAAAAGGGATACCCTATATAGGTTTGTCCAGATTTGTTTGAGCATTGTACTCCTGCAACCTCAAAATCAAATTGAATATACATGTATAGGGATCATGCATCTACTCTTTAAGGGGAACCCCTATTATCAGTGTATAAAATTTATGTCAAGGTCAAGTTTCTCAAGATATGAAATTTACAATAAATTAAACAGGCAAAAGTTTAAGGAAAAATGAGAAAAAATACAAGACATATAATAGAATATAATTCCATGTTATTACATCACATAGTATACATAAAAACAAACAAACAGAAAAAATGCTAGCCCTTTTATATTTTAAGTAAAGTACTTTATAGCTAGGAATAAAAATTAACAATTTAATATTACAAGATAAAAAGTAAGAGTTAACATTAAATCATGCAGTTTGTCAAAACCTGAAAAAAAATCAAAATTTCAAAAACATGCATTATATATATACAGTGTATTCCAAATAGTACACAATGCACTCACACAATCACGCACTTTAAATAAGCTAGACCATTATATCAGATCCCATCCACAAATCAAAACCTGGGAAGGCAGCAATATTAAGAAGAAAGTGTGCTAATCTCTATATAATTATTAATGAACTCCCACCCTTTAACAATAACCATGGATTGCAGTCCAAAATCTGTTTTAATCAGCAAGATATGGTACGCATTTCAATTTCGACTTACACGAGTCACATGCAGTTAGAATATATTTTTCCCTTTAACCTTTAATCAGGCTCTTAAGATTGATGCTTAAACATATGACAGCATTATAGTGTAAATGATAGGAATCAAACAGAGAAAGCAAATGGTAAGGTCAGGAAAATAAGGTCATTGTGACCTAAATATAAGGCTTATCTTTAATTACACCTCTTTCCACAGTGGAAAACTGCAATATAAAAATGCTTGTTAAATTTGTATATTCAAACACTTATAGAATACAGAATATAGCTATCTAGAGCAAATGAAAACTTATATACATGTACTAACATTCTACAAGAAGTTAAACTCTATCAGGGCATTCATGTATACTTTCAACAAAGATGCAAACAATGTAAACAGGTTATTGTGACCTACAAACAGATATTATGCTTTCTCTTCAAGAGACAGGGTCTTCATATATATATATAATCCGAAATGGTAAGCAGCAATGAGAGCCAATTTTAGAGAGAGATAAGTCATTGTGACTTACTTTAGGTGTACGCTATATTCGAAATTTCAATGTATTATATGAATTAAAAGAGTCTGAACCCATGTCAGAAAGACAACATAATTCATGCTATTAACTAAAAATTTTCAAGAACACTTCACTTCCACAAAAACAAGTATAAGCACACACCGATTTAGCATCCAAGAAAATTTCAGTGCATAAACATGTCATCTCACTGACTCAGGCTTCCAACCCTTAGTAGTGTATTCAATTTTCACAGTGGAAACTGGCAATTAAGAAATTTTAAGAATACTAGTATACTCCTTTTTAAATGAACACCAGGATAAATGGTATAAATTGATCCATAGCAAGTAATATCTACCTAACTGTCCTCCAAGTAGTAAGCCTGATTGCAGCTTGTAGTTTTACAGGTAGATGCAATACTTAAAAATTTTTCTTAGAAATTCAATGTAGCAAAACAGATGCACACTTAAAAATGCTCAACATGCAGTTATACTTGACTTTTCAATGGCTGTAACATAAAAATGTTGATTTAAGGTATCAGACAGTACAGTTAAGAACAGTTTTTCTACTGTTACAGGAAGCCTATAAGCCCTCTCTCCAAAACTGTATCCCATATACATGTATTCTCTCATAACCCTCCCTACAGATTGCAAACTGTAAATATGCATCCAATGCTACAAATGTTTATTTCTTATGCCCCCGTAATCAAAAATTCAGGGGTATTTAATTTTTGCCCTGTCCATTCCTCTGTCTGTCTAATCTGTCTGCAAAAACTTTAACCCTGCTTATAACTTTTGAGTAGTTGGGATTATGCTTTACATATTTCATAGGTGTATTCCTTGTGACAATACCTTTCTTCAGGTTCCACCAAATTTGACCTCTCGACCTTGACCTTGGAGTTTGACCCACCTTTACTAAAACAATACCAAACTTTAACCCTGGACATAACTTTTTAACAGTTGGTGCTACGGATTTCATACTTCACATATGTATTCATTGTGACAAGATCTTTCAGTTGGTATAAATATTTTTTACCTTCTGACCTTAACCTCAGAGTTTGACCCACTTTAAAAAAATTTAACCTTGGCCATATCTTTTGAATGGTAGTACTAGGGCTTTCATATTGCACATATGTATTCCTTGTGACAAGTCCTTCCTTGGGATACCAACAATTTTGACCTTGACTTTAAAGTATTTCTTGCATTTGAGAAACTTCAACCTTTGCCAAAACCTGCCATACGGGGGCATCAGTGTTTCAGAAATACATCAGTTAAAGCTGAAATCAGTTTATGATGTTCCTCCCAGCCCAACTAATATGGTAACATGGGGAGTGACAGATGATCCAAAGTGTGTCCTATGTGGTAAACCATCAAACATGGAGCACACATTATCAGCTTGCTCCAAGGCTTTGAAAGATGGGAGATACACTTGGGGACATGATAGATTCCTAGCCAGTATAGTGACACCTTGGAGAAAGGTATCAAAAAGCCAAAGAAGAACACAGAGGGCCTGAGATTTGTCAACTTTGTGAAAGAAGGTGAAAAAGGACATAAAGTTAGTGTTGAAGGAAGTGGTCTGCTGGGGATAGCAACAGATTGGCAGATCTGGGCAGTCCTCAAGGAAAGATTAGTATTTCCATCTGAAATAAAAGCCAACAACAAGAGGCCGGGGGTAGTTTTTTGGTCAATGGCTACAAGACAGACAATTATTTTGGAATTAACAGAGCCATTGGAAGATAGGATGGAGGATGCATACAAAAGGAAAAGTACCAAGACCTTCTGGAGGATTGTCAGTAGAATGGATGG